GCCTATAGTGATTTTTATATGAATGATTTGTTTCATGTATTGCTAGACTCTAGTTTATTTAAAAAGAGAAAATATGTCTAAATAATAAAAATAATTATAGATGTGATTAAAAAGTACTGTTTCCTAAATTATAACAACTACATTAATTAACAAAAATATAATTTACATAGATAAATATGTGTGTTAACAGTGCAGGTGTAAGTAATGTCTGTGTGATCTCTGGGAAACACCAATGCTTGTAACACGTGCTCTTGTAGATTACAGCTAATACCAGGGAGTTAACAGCCCCCTCTTAATCAAATCAGTGCAGCAGGTCCACAGTGAGGCTCAGCACTAAAAGTAACCTGTGTCTGTACCTTCTAAGTTACATCACTCTCAACCCACTGCCAGAGATACGTATCACATATGGATTGACTTATACTGTAATAGGGCAGCACAACATTGACTGTTGTTAATTAATACTAATTATTATAATTGCTAATGTAAATGTCTAATAACAATGCTATAAACAACTCACAGTAGTAGTAACAGAGCCAAGAGGCAAAAGCTTTTCAACTCTCTACTGTCATCTCTAGTGTGATGTTCTCATGTGATCTTTGAGCCATGTCGTCCTGTTCACAAGAGTCTTCTTGGGGGCTTTTTAAAATGTATTATTTATTTAATTTATATATTATTTATGTATTTATTTATTTATTTATTTTTTTTGCCAAACTAGAGAAATTCTGCAAAATCAGCTATTTGGGGCTCCCCTTATTAATCCAAAGACCGCACAAGGCTCCAGAGTAAATACATTAGCCTCTGTGACATGGCAGCCTACTGTCAGACATGTTAAATCAGCTCCATTGTCTGTTTAATGATCACTTAGAACAGTTTCCTCAACAAAGCCGAAATGTGCATTATGATTGATATTGCTGGAGATTATCTGTTCTGAGGTTCCCCGGGTCAAAACCCACTAAGAGGCTTGTGATTTAGCCTATTTGTAACTTGTAAGATGTCTTTTCAAATTAGACTGCTTTAAATCTTTATGTTTGTCACATATTAATCCAAAACACCTAGAAAGTGGGATGGCTCAGATCATGTATGTATAGTCCCTTCTTGCTGCCGCAAGTCTGATTTAGCCTGTACATACAATGCGTTACGTAGCTTAATAAAATAAGGTAAATAATGAGACTAATGTTGTTTTCACTGAATACGAAAACTATTAAGAGAAAAGATAACATTTTGTGAAGGCGCATGCTCACCTGAAAGCAGCCTTCTCACGATGAGTTTTCCAACTCTCCAAAACAGACCGTTCCCATGTGACTGCTCCCGTGCAACTCCATCATCCAAAGCAAAGTATTATAATCTCCGAAATATGGCCTTTGTCATCCTTTTATCCGCGCACAGGGTCATTGAAAAGGCCCGGAGAGCGCACCATGGCTGTGGGAGGCGGAGGATGAAGTGAGCTGGAGCGGACAGTCCGAGCGCCAGGGGGAGGAGCCTTGGGCCTCTGCACCTGCTCCATAGGAGAAGATCCAGGACCTGCTCCTGCAGTGGCACCAGTACTGTGTCTGGTCCATGCTCATTCACTCCCAAACTATCTTAAATTAGGTCAATATTTGTGTATTTGTCTGAAACTCCTGCAACACATTATCCACTTCATCTGAAGATGTACGCTTACCTTGCTTATAGTTTATCTGTCTTTGGTTTAGTTTCTCTAGACCTATAATGATATTTATTCATGTATGTATGTTTGTTGTTACAAGTACATTGTTACGACCCTGACCCTAGCAGAGCTGGGTTGTAACAATGTACTGTATTTATTTATTTGTTTGAACTGGGGCATTTATTAAAACCACTGACATGTATAGGCTATAGCCTCCAAGCCTTATTAAGATAAGTGTAAGGGCACCTTACCATGTAAGCCTACAATATATCATTTTGCTTGTGGTTAAAATGTCTATATATATACTATAGTAGACTATCTCAGGCCTGCCCCCTCAGCATCACCCTGAGGCAGAAGGTTAAAAGAGAAATCCTTTTGCCGTACACAAGCCTGCTCTGATAATCCCAGCTTAGACCTGAGAACCTGCTTCAGAGCCCTAATGCCCCCTCCTGGATATGTGCGCTCAGATGAACACACACGTTAATCAGATATATGAATAATACAAAGGATTCATCAGGCTAAACATTCTGATTAGTGTATTTAATTGTGATTTAATTGTTTATTTTTTTTATTTTCCTGTGTGTGTTCTTTCTCTTTAAAAGATTAACCTGTCTTTAGGTAATCCATAAATAGAATCTGATGGTCAGAAAATAGCATGTGTGGGTACTCATAGATGTCATGAATTCCATTATCTTTAGAATTTACCTGATTTAACCCACAACATCATTTAGGCAAACTGAAAATGTGTCACATTCTTATACATCTGTGGTTGTAGAAAGAAGATGATTAACACTGGCCTCCATAATATTTTTAATTAACTTAACTCAAGCAATATGGAAGAATTTCATCATAAATTTTAAAATTATTTTGAATTTGCCTATTTTTTGTCTTCAGGTGCTTGGAAACCTCAGAAGACCTAAGTTGTTAATATACGCCGTGCTTTACCCAAATCCACTATGATCATTGGCAGTCATTCAACCAGTCATATCACATTAGAGACACAACTGTTAGTGTCCCTTAACCAGCCACTCAAGTCTGAGGAACCTGACAATAGCTGCAGCACACACTTAATACTTACCTAGTTTAATACTGTAATATTATTTTAGTTATAACAGTTGAACTACTTGCACGTGTGATGATGTTTTATAGGCTAATTATGAAAAAATATACACATCCAGTATAAACAGAGACAAAACATTTGGCTAAGTTAATAAATCTTCCCTTTGCATTTGACCCATGCATTTATGTGAAAAGTATTTTTGTTGTATGTAACCTACACTGTCACCAGGTCCAATCAAGAAATATGATTGGATTTGGAATTATTTTAGTATACCCATGGGTTTCACATGAAAGCACTTGTTTCTATAGCAAAAAACAATTTAACAAAATAATTTGAATGTGAAAAAGTCCTCAATATGTATAGGTAAATAACATATAAGGAAGCTGAAACCCCTTAATTGGTTAATGCTCTTTTAGGTCTATTTATTAGCTATTAAAAGACCAAAAATATTTATTCAGTTATATATACAATTTATAGTACTGGTTGGTATAAGGTATCAATGTTCAAAACTCAAGTATCATATCTGAAGTGAAAAATATCTGGACCATAGCTGCAAGCGATCATTTGCTTGATACAAACATAGTACATATTTATTTTTGCCATACAGCATTTGCATTAACAACATTCATATAGGCTACTTCTCTATGATAGATTGTGAATTCATGAATGTTTTTGAGAATGAATGAACATGCCATCTGTGGCTGAATGTGTGCGACGCTAATTTAAATGGCCTCTCTCTTTGGTCTTCCAGCTGCAGTCGTGTGCTCAAGAGTCCTCAGCGTGCTCTCCTGGTGATGACTGTGCCCTGTTCATCAGCTCCAAACATGATTACATCCTCTTTGTTTTTGTTATAGACATATTCAGACCATTTATCCTGTGCCAAACACTCATACTGTGTTGTCATGCCAACATTCAACTGGGGCAATGGACAGCAAGAGAAATTCACTACATGATTCTTTGAGGTAGGCATACATACATAGTGCACATGTGGGTAGAGTTGCCAAAAATACCACAGTTTTGAATGAAAGTTATTAAAACTCACAGAAATTGAGCAGAAAAAAGTGGGGATAAAAAGTTTATTATTTGCTCTCAAACAAATAGCAATAAATGATGACGAAATTATGTTGATACTGCTGAATTGCCAAAACTTTGCCCACATAACGATGTATTTCCTTTGAAAATCATATAGCTTTAAGTCATTTTAGACAAGTATGCTATAGTAATTGTTTTAAAAGACATTTAAACAAATCATTTGAATAAAGTACTTTGGACATAATGTGGTTATTATGTCCAATCCTTGACTAATCACTTCCAAAGGCCCAAGTATCTGTAATTGTATTGTCTCAAATTGGGACAATGACATAACTTGATTTTGGGCCCTTGAGCTGAGTGTTCTCTGTGATTCAATGCATTCTCCAGGCTGTGTACCGATGTGGAAAAGGAAAACAGTTTAATCAGTTAATGGGGGAAGTGAAACTGCAGTCACTGATGTTTCACAAAGCAAAAGCAGTAGGTGGTTTTGTAAGCTAGGTCAAACTACAGTGACTACTAAAAATGTATGCTGCCTGGGGTATTTCAAAAGATTTTATCAGTCAACATACCACACTGACCATGTTTACTTTTTGTTAGGCTATATTATATTTTCAAACCCTTACAAATAGAACAGACTTGCTTTGTATCTATTTTTTAAATCAAAGCTTAAGTGGCCAAATTCATAACTGTAAAAAATGTAAGTTAAATATAGGCTGCAAATGTAATAAAAAAGATATAAAATTTTAGTTATAGGCTGTGTCTTAATTCTCATATTTATTCTTCAATGGACTAAGAGGATTTACAAAGCCAGCTTTACCAAGAACACTACTTATGCAAATTACAATAATAAGGAGGCATTTTCTTTCCATTAAAAAAAAGAAGAAAGAAAATAATACAGATAATTTAAATGGTTACTTTTCTAATAACTGTGGTTAAAATAAATTGTACAGGCTTACATAGGTCTATGATTTAAATTATTTATTGCATTTATCTTATTTTTTTATTTTAACATAGCATAATGTCAACGCGCCCTCTCGTGGCTTGATTAGGTACGTTCAATATGCTCCGTTAAAAGCAAATGTAGTTATTTTTAAAAGTAGCCATGTCGTGATATTAACATGGTAAAAATATATATTAATATTTTTATTTGTTTATGCTTTTCTTTTTAAGCGTAAAACTATTTTATTGTTGCTGTCGTAACGTTTCCATGGTAACCTCTAAACATCCCACGCCGGTGTCCGTGAGCTGCCTTTTCACCTCACATTTCACAAATTGAAATAAATTATTAGTTTTTCTAATTTCTTTAGTTTGACGCCACATATCTGAAAAAGTAGAAATGTCGTGGAACTGGAATAGCCATGGTTTGCCTTTTCTGCCTGGATACAGCTTTCAGGATGTAACGGTAAAACATGTTAAAACTAGCTAACGTTACATAAGAAGAAAAAAATTTAGCGTTAGTAATTTATTTAGAAATGTCTAGAGCATGGCGTGGATTTGCTTAAAAATCGTTTAAATATACGAAACCAGCGAGAATTTCAGCAAAGTGTATTTTGTGTGCATTCCTTCAGTCGCATCTGCATTTGTTAACACTAGTTATTTAACCTAGCTGTTAGCTGGAGTTTAGATAAGCTTTTAGGTGAACTTTTTACTTTTCTGTCTTTTTATACATTTGTCAAGTAAGCTCACCATTATATCATGCAAAGTGTCTTTTAGGTCACTCACAAAACTGATGAATTCTTAACTTACATTTAACGTAACGTTGCTATTGTAAAATTAATTTGCCCACATTTTGCTCAAACAGCTTTATACCCCCTTTTTTTTTTTTTTTTTTAAATATTGCACTTTTATTTTCTCTTTCAGGATCAGATCTTTCATTTATCTTGAATGGGATTTGTTTTTTTTTGTTACAGAAGTAACTAAAATTTATGTGACCAGCTTTATGAAGTCAAACTTTATAAATGATAACAGTTACTGTGACATGCAGCCAGATGAAAAACTAGAGCTACGTTTGGGAGAATTGATTAGTTAGTTCTGCTTCTAAAATGGTCACAATTAAACTTTGTATTTAGCTTTTAGAATTATATTGTGTGACCAGAATATTTACCATTTTTGCTGCTTTGTCATCCATTGTTTGTCTCTTAACACAGAAGACAGCTTTCCACCGGCCACAGACACTGGGATATAAGAATGGCTATGCTCTGCCCTGCCGGCCCACCATAGGCATTGGTCAGAGCCCCCTCCTGTCTGCTCAGCTCATACTACAGGAGCTCAACCAGCTGCCCCTACAAGAACATGAGGCCTCCTATGATGCCTATGACATCAGCCAGTGCGAGGACTTTATCCCTGCCCATGTGGCACTGGACAAGAAGGTACAGGATACCTACAGTACTAGGGCTGGTCAATTGTTAATAATTGTTTTTCCTACACTGTAAATCCTCTCCTTATTCTTCATCCAGGTGCTGCGTTTCTATGCATACTTCACAGAGGACATCTTGTACTCCCCAGAGGAGCACTACCGGGTTCGCTCTGTGGTCATTTACTACTTCCTGGAGGATGACACCATGTGCATCATCGAGCCGGCCGTGGAGAATTCAGGGATACCACAGGGCAAACGCATCAAGCGCCAGCGCCTGCCCAAGAATGAGTTTGGAGAGTATTACACCTGGACTGATCTGAATGTAGCTACGGACATGGAAGTGTACGGAGTCAAGTACCACATCGTGGACTGTGACGCTTTTACTAAGGTACAGTGTACACATATGAAAGAAGAAATTATTTATAATTTATCATTATAAAGTTGAATGATGCAACAGCATATAGGTCCCATATTACAATGTATTCAGGTTTTTAAAGCTACCTCATCTTGATGCTTTCTGTGGCAAAACCCTGCAAATAAATTATATTTTAGACTGCAGTCAAATTAACTTAACCTGAAGACATTGCTGGACATTTTCCTCGACAGGAGTTCCTGGCCAGTGAAGGCATCATTCTAAATGTGCCGGAGCCCATGCCCTCAGACCCATATATCACAGACCGCACCAAACCCGTGCCCAGCTTCACCACTCCCTCCGAATATGACCGGGTCAACCAGTTCCTCACCATGGACCGCAAGGTAACGGATGCACCCAGGAGCCCAGGAGAAGGGTGCACAGGCCAGGGGAATAACTTTTACTTAAGCTGCAACATATAATAACAACATGACTACATTATGAAATAATCATATATATCAAACAATGCAATAACAGCAGAACAGGTACATAAAATAAAAAAAATATAAATTGTCAACAGGAATACTTTGAACACACACTTCCCCACCCTGCCACTACATACTCTAGTCTCCTACTCGACATGTAGCAAAAGCTCCCCTCTCTCTCCTGGCAGGTGCTGCGTTTCTCTGGGCTGTGGGACGACTCTGAGTCTCTGTTTGGAGACACGCGCCCGGTCACCATTCACTACTACCTGGTGGATGACACTGTGGAGGTCAGAGAGGTGCATGAGCCCAACAGCGGACGAGACCCTTTTCCCATCCTCATGAGAAGACAGCGGTTGCCCAAGAAGAGCAAAGCACACATAAGTAATGTGCTCTTACGCCCTAGATAGAACATTCTCATGATTAAGAATTGTTTCTGAAGGATATGGCTTCACAAGCTTGTTATATTATTCTTAGGTGTAATTAGCTATTCAGAATACTCTTTTGATTGGTCAAAAGTCCTACAATGGCACAGATATCAGGAAAGTAAATATTATCAGTGCTTTCTGTGTTTAGACTTTTTGCAATCTTGGGCATAGTTATTGAATATGCAGCCCTAATGAATATCTTATGTCCTCTGTGCAGGTAACTTCCCCACCTGTGTCCTGGAGGTGTCCAAAGATGAGGTAGAAGAATACTACTCTCCACAGGACTTCCAGCTGGGTCAGAAAATAAGCATGCTGGGGAGACACTTCCTCTTGTGTGACTGTGATGACTTCACAAAACAGTACTATCAGAGGCACTACCCTGACATGGAGCTTAGGCCAGTGGAACCGACCCGCCAGGAACCACAGCCAGCAGACAAGAAGAAGGTACACAACTACAACGACACTGCGATTAATCGCTCGAACTCATGTGATTAATCGCGATTCAATTTTTTAATTTTTGCCCAGCCCTATTATTAATAGAATAGATATCCAAAATGTTTACTTCAAATAGGAGGACAGAGATAGAGAAGTGGTTCTCAAACCATGGAGCTCCTCAGGGGCAGATTCAGACCAAACTGACTGAGCGTGCATCGTGACTCAAATGAGGAAGCAAATACTTATGATAATTAGATAAGATCTCCTCCTTGAACCGTCACCTTATCGTGGTGGAGGGGTTTGAGTGCCCGAATGATCCCGGGAGCTATGTTGTCGGGGGCTTCATGCCTCTGGTAGGGTCATCCAAGGCAAACAGGTCCGGGGGGGACGGGTCAGACAAAGAACGGTTCAGAAGCCCTATATGACAAGTGTACCAACGAGGCCAGTTACGTCGCCCGGATTGGCGTCACCGGGGCCCCACCCTGGAGCCAGGCCTGGGGTGGGTGCTCGCCAGCGAGCGCCTGGTGGCCGGGCCTTCCCTCACGGGGCCCAACCGGGCTCAGCCCGAAGGAGTGACGTGGGGCCGTCCTTACGTGGGCCCACCACCCGCGGGAGGATCCATATGGGGCCGGTGCAGAGAGATCTGAGCGGCAGTTGACGGCGGGGGCCTCGGCGACCGGATCTCCAGACATGGAGACTAGCTCTGGGGACATGGAATGTCACCTTGCTGGGGGGGAAGGAGCCTGAGCTTGTGCGGGAGGTTGAGCGTTACTGACTAGATATAGTCGGCCTCACCTCCACGCACAGTTTGGGCTCTGGAACCCAACTCCTTGAGAGGGGCTGGACTCTCCATTTCTCTGGCGTTGGCCGCAGGGAGTGGCGGCGGGCTGGTGTGGGCTTGCTCATTGCCCCACAGCTCAGCCACTATGTGTTGGAGTTCACCCCGGTGAACGAGAGGGTCACGTCCCTGCGCCTTCGGGTCGGGGACAGGTCTCTCACTGTGGTGTCGGGCCGAACAGCAGTGCAGAGTACCCGGCCTTCTTGGAGTCCTTGGGAGGGGTACTAGACAGTGCACTGACCGGGGACTCCATTGTTCTCCTGGGGGACTTCAACGCCCACGTGGGCAACAACAGTGACACTTGGAAAGGGGTGATTGGGAGGAACGGCCTCCCCGATCTGAACCCGAGCGGTGTTTTGTTATTGGACTTCTGTGCTAGTCACAGTTTGTCCATAACGAACACCATAAGTGCACGTGGCACCAGGACACCCTAGGCCGGAGGTCAATGATCGAGTTTGTAGTCGTGTCATCTGACCTCCGGCCGCGTGTCTTGGACACTCGGGTGAAGAGAGGGGCTGAGCTGTCAACTGATCACCACCTGGTTGTGAGTTGGGTTCGCTGGCGGAGGAGGAAGCCAGAAAGACCTGGCAGGCCCAAGCGGGGATTGAGGGTCTGTTGGGAACATCTGGCGGAGCCCTCTGTCAGAGGGACTTTCAACTCGCACCTCCGGGAGGACTTCTCCCGGATTCCGGGGGAGGCTGGAGATATGGAGTCCGAGTGGGCTTCATTCTCTGCCTCTATTGTCAATGCGGCTGCTCGGAGCTGTGGGCGTAAGGTCTGTGGTGCCTGTCGCGGCGGCAATCCCCGAACCTGGTGGTGGACACCGGAAGTAAGGGATGCTGTCAAGCTGAAGAAGGAGTCCTATCGGGCCTTGCTGGCTCGGGGGACTCCTGAGGCAGCTGACGGGTACCGGCGGGCCAAGCGTGCTGCAGCGCGTGCGGTTGCGGAGGCAAAAACACGGAGCTGGGAGGAGTTCGGGTAGGCCATGGAGGAGGACTATCGGACGGCCTCGAAGAGGTTCTGGCAAACCGTCTGGTGCCTCAGGAGGGGGAAGCAGTTCTTCACCAACACTGTTTACTGTGCGGGGGGAGAGCTGTTGACCTCAACTGGGGACGTTGTCCGGCGGTGGAAAGAATACTTTGAGGATCTCCTCAATCCCACCGTCACGTCTTCCGAGGAGGAAGCCGAGGCTGGGGACTTGGAGACGGACTCATCCATCACCCTGGCTGAAGTCACTGAGGTGGTTGGAAAGCTCCTTGGTGGCAAGGCTCCGGGGTTGGATGAGATCCGTTCTGAGTACCTTAAGTCTCTGGATGTTGTGGGGCTGTCTTGGCTGACACGCCTCTTCAACATTGCGTGGCGGTCAGGGACAGTACCTCTGGACTGGTAAACCGGGGTGGTGGTCCCTCTGTATAAGAAGGGGGACCGGAGGGTGTGTTCCAACTATAGGGGGATCACACTCCTCAGCCTTCCCGGTAAGGTCTATGCCAGGGTACTGGAGAGGAGAATCCGGCTGATAGTCGAACCTCAGATCCAGGAGGAGCAGTGTGGTTTTCGTCCTGGCCGTGGAACACTGGACCAGCTCTACACTCTCCATAGGGTGCTCGAGGGTTCATGGGAGTTTGCCCAACCAGTCCACATGTGCTTTGTGGATCTGGAGAAGGCATTCGACCGTGTCCCTCGTGGTGTCCTGTGGGGGGGTGCTCTGGGAGTATGGGGTCCTTTGCTAAGGGCTGTCCGGTCCCTGTATGACCGGAGCAGGAGCTGTGTTCGCATTGCCGGCAGTAAGTCAGACCTGTTCCTGGTGCATGTTGGACTCCGCCAGGGCTGCCCTTTGTCACCGGTTCTGTTCATTGTATTTATGGACAGAATTTCTAGGCGCAGTCAGAGGCCGGAGGGGGTCCGGTTTGGGGACCACAGGATTTCATCTCTGCTGTTTGCAGATGATGTTGTCCTGTTGGCTTCATCGAACCAGGACCTGCAATGTGCACTGGGGCGGTTTGCAGCCGAGTGTGAAGCGGTTGGGATGAGGATCAGCTCTTCTAAGTCCGAGGCCATGGTTCTGGACCGGAAAAAGGTGACTTGCCCTCTCCGGGTGGGTGGGGAGTCTTTGCCTCAAGTGGAGGAGTTCAAGTATCTCGGGGTCTTGTTCACGAGTGAGGGAAGGACAGAACGTGAGATGGACAAGCGGATTGGTGCAGCTTCGGCAGTGATGCGGTCGCTGTATCGGACCGTTGTGGTGAAGCGGTAGCTGAGCCGAAAGGCGAAGCTCTCGATTTACCGGTCAGTCTTCGTTCCTACTCTCACCTATGGTCATGAGCTCTGGGTAGTGACCGAAAGGACGAGATCGCGGATACAAGCGCTCGAAATGAGTTTCCTCCGCAGGGTGGCTGGGCGCTCCCTTAGAGATAGGGTGAGGAGCTCAGTCACACGGGAGGAGCTCGGAGTAGAGCCGCTGCTCCTCCACGTCGAGAGGAGCCAGCTGAGGTGGCTCTGGCATCTGTTCCGGATGCCTCCTGGGCGCCTCCCTCGGGAGGTGTTCCGGGCATGTCCCACCGGGAGGAGGCCTCGGGGAAGACCCAGGACACGCTGGAGGGACTATGTCTCTTGGCTGGCCTGGGAACGTCTCAGGATTCCCCCGGAGGAGCTGGAGGACGTGTCTGGGGTGAGGGAAGTCTGGGAGCCCCTGCTTAGGCTGCTGCCCCCGCGACCCGGCCCCGGATAAGCGGACGAAAATGGATGGATGGAATTAGATAAGATGAGACATTGAAAAAAAAATTAACAAATGTATTATTTATGACTTTTATTTCTTCCACAAGTGAACAACAACTACTTCTATTGCTACTGCTGCTGAGTTGATTTGCACTGTTAAACAAATCAAATAACATTAAAGCTACCGTCAGCCAGCAGTTTTTAATCACACACACGTATTAATCATGTTTTGAGTTTTCACACCATCTTCACTGTAAAAGTATTAATTGTTTAAAACACTGCCATTTTCCCTGACTGTGCTGTACTGTATTGTGCACATGTTACAGCTGCAGGTGCCACCATACAACGGCTTTGGAACCCTGGAGGACTCTTTGCAGAACTGCCTGAGCCTGGTCCCAACGCCTCCCAAAAAGAACGTGATTAAACAACTGGAGAATGACAACAAAATACTGCGCTACCGAGCCAAACTGGTGAGACAGACTAGGCCATTGTACTTATCTGAATAGTATTTAGACTCCAACTTCAAAAATATATTTTACAGGGGAGAAGTATTTTTAACTTGAGTAAAAATGATAGCCACTCTTTCTATTGTGTGCAAGTTATTTGCCCAACAGTTTTATCTTGACAATTCGAAATTATTTGAACATTTCTGTTTCTTGCACCACTCCTTCAGACATGATTTTAATGTTTTCCAATTTTTGTACCAGATTTTGTGCAATGTTTTGTCCCTCCAGTTACATTAATTGCATTACATTACACTTCAAAATGTATATCATATTTTACGAAGTTACTACACAAACTAATATAATCAAATAATAATCGGTAGTAAACATAAGGTAGTTTCTAACGATGCTGTTTGAATGCATTTAGGAATCCCAGATTGAAGCAGATGAAGACCGCACATTTGTCCTGTCCTACTACCTGGCCAACGACATGATCAGCATCTATGAAAAGTCCTCCCGAAACAGTGGGATCATCGGAGGGAAGTTCCTGGAAAAGACGCGCATCCCCAAACCTGACTCATCCACCGAGAGCCCACAATTCTACTCGCCGACAGACTTCGCTATTGGCGCCACAGTGGAGGGTAAACTGGATTATACATCTGAGCACTGACATCTTAAAACTCCATAGAGTTGTGTGGCAGAATGCCTTGTTATTTTATATGAAAAATTATTGATTTTTGCATAGAAAATAGAATTGACCATATTTGATTTTTGTTTTTCAGTGTTCGGCCATCGTTTTGTGCTGACCGATGCTGACCGCTACGTGTTAACCTATCTGGAGTCCATCCAGAGTCAGGTCCCTACAGAGACCTTGGACTCTTTAAGGAGGTGGTTTGGACTCGGCACAGACACCACAGAGAAACACGGTAGGCCTAAGTAAAAAATATTCACCGCAAAAATAATATCATATCAATATAACATTTTTATCCCCAGTTTCCTTTTTTTCTAATGTGTGAAAGAAGGAACCAATTAATTCTGTACAAGTACTATACAGTATTCCGCCATGAGAAAAAATGACAACATAAAAAATTAAAAAGTGTCAAATATTCTACTGCCTGAAAATTGTGCCTGAAACCAGTAAAATCAATCATGTTGTCAAAATCGCCCAATAAGAATAACATGTTTTCACTTTTTCCTTCTTGTTTGTCTGTAGGTGAAGATGCTGTGGTTGAACCCTCATCTCTGAATTAATCTCTGTTAAAATGTCTGTGGAGAAAATGAGACTTGACTGATGCTAATATCAGTAAATCTTTTTAGACCAAAATATTGATTGATGATCTACTTTAAGTAATTATGTTTTCTCCTTGTTTTTGAAAATTTTTGAACATTCCAACAAAAATAATTTACTGTTCATCAGATTTACCTTTTTGTCATCACTTGTACAACTCTGCCTTCTACAGGCAGCCAGTGAAATGCCACCATAAGAATTCACTCAAGAGATTTCTAAGTTGCATTGAAGGCTGGGTCCAGAAAAGTAAAATTTGAGTAAATTTTATTTCATGAATACATTTTTGATGCATTACAATTTAAAAATATCCTATCATGTACATAAGTAGCATTCACACGTAGAAGTACTATGATACTATTTCAGTGATGTAGCATTTTCTCATTGTACTTTAAAGGCAGACATAAGTGACCTTGATTGTGGGAAATTATAGATCTAAAGGTGATTCAAATATTGACTTTGAGACATAGTATTTTTTCCATGATGGTAATAAATATAGGCTGATGCAATTACTGTTATGTTGTAAAAAAAACAAAGGGGAAAAAAAAAAAAAAAAAAAAAAAAAAAAAAAAAAAAAATAAATATATATATATATATATATATATATATATATATATATATATATATATATATATATATATATATATATATATATAGATATATATATATATATAGATAGATATATTGACACAGTGGTAACATATTAAACAAACTTTAATATGCCTCTTATGGGGAACATGTAATAGATAATTAACTGGGCAAACTATGAACAGACAATAGTAATAATATTGTCCCTTTAGTGTAGTTTATTACAAATGACTATAGTCCAAGGGAAGACTTTGCATTCCTACAACAACGATTTGGATATTGTTACATCTGTCATAATAGTTTTAAATTTGGCCATTTGATCTTGAACTTAATGTCATACTGTGGCAAATTCAACACCTCTATGTAGACAAGTAGGTGGCACACTTTCAACTTACAATGTTACATAGTGAACCTTTAAAATGCAACGTAAATAAAATTTGTGAACACTTCCTTTACACAAACTTAAAGGAGGACATTTCTGGCAGCAGTAAAATGATCTGTCTCGCTGCTTTGCTTTGTAAAAGTTGTTGTGTCTCACAGCTGTCTCTATCATTTAGCACTTGACCTACTGGTGGGTTTCAGATTCTAGAAAGTGATGACGTTATACTGCCAGATGGGGGGCAAGAGGCTGTTGATTACACTGTGTACTTTGCCATGAAATATTGGAAAGGTAAATTCCCAAATTTGTAACCTGAACATTTATATTATTGACTAGACACAAGACCATGCTATACTACAACAAAAATCTGCATTTGAACAATATTTGTTTTAGCTGGCCCCATTTGTATTAAATGATTTTGGCCTAAAGAATAGTGTGATGTGATGTGAAACCCAGTAACAGGAAATATTTGTCACATTTATGCTGAAAAAACTGCCAGTCACTTGTAAAACTGTCTTCCAAAATATCTTCAAAAACTTGATAAACATGGTGTCATCAGAGTTTAAATTAAATACTGACAACAAAAGGAAGTCAAAAATGTCTTCTTTTGTCTTCTAGCAGACTGTATTAAAATAGAAGCATTTCACACCATTAATATCTAAAACTATAAGAATTTTATGTTTCCTTTCCAACAAGGCAACAGTTGGCAATTAGACAATCTTTTTTTGCATGAACAGTAAGTTCAAACACAATCTCTTCCTCTTGATACCATTTTGTCTATAGCTCCCGCAACTTTTGTTATCTTATCAATGTGTTTATGGCACAGGGTATATAGGTTTATTGTTGTTAAATATTCACAATTACTCTAGTTTCATTTGTATACATAATCCAAATAAGATATAGGCCAAATGGTGTGGTATGATTAAAATCAAGCCAAATAAACATTATACATTTCATGCTCCTTACCACACTGAAATGTCTCAAATATAATGTATTTCATAAGTATTATTTCTTTTACATGTTAAATATTTTGGTGAATATTAAGCCAGGCTTTTGTACACTATATACCTTACATTTACTTTATCAGGGCAGGCCTATAATATGTCAATTAAAACATGTGTAACCTGTTAATGAAGAAATATTACTTATATTGATCACTTTTTGAGGTTGTGTAATTCTGAGTGTACAGCATCGCATTCAGTTACAGGAAATGAGTAGGCCTATCGTGCAAAATAACAGGAAGAAACACTAACCAAACCCTCACATGTTTGCCCATTTGAGGTGACAGAAACATGTCATATATAAATACAGTACAGCCCAGTTTAATCACTGAAGAGGTTATGGGTCTGACTTTCTGAACACGTGTCAGGATTATGTATTTGGCCACAGCTGGCAAAAGTTAGCTCTTTCGGTTTCAAATATTTTTTATGATCAAGAAAATCCTAATATTGTAGGTAAACTGCCAAAATGTACGACTTCAAATTAGAATGTTTATTTCAGTACTTTATGTGTGTGTGTGTGTTTTGGATCTCAAGATGATTATCCAACCACAAAAACAAAATATGCTTCACTGAGTCATTTGGTCTGCAAGATTCTGAAATCCTGTTGGCTTAAACCTGAAAGGACTCTCTATGATCTGAATAATGACTACAGGCCAAGAGCCAGGTCCACTCCTGAGGATATTTTTTGCTTTTTCACAATTATTTCCTGTTATCTTATGTCTTGGGTCATCAAAGGTTGATAAGGTCCACTCCCAACTCTGCCCCGTTTGGTCTCAGGGCCCCCACAAAAAAACTCCTGTTTAGGAAAAGCTGTTGGCAAAATTCATAGATCAATTTTGAAATTATGTAACTGTAAATATTAAAGTACTGCAACTGCATAGATGGTTCCTCCCTAAACCCCAGCACCTGCAGCCATCTTAAATCAGTGCTAGTGTGCGAATTCTCCATATAATAAGAATGGAAAAAACTACAGGTTACATACATTTCCTTTAAATTATGAATGAACTTGGTATTTCAGGTGTGAATCTCTGCCTACTCCCTGTGTGTCAGACAGCAGAGGGCGCTGTCTCCCGTGTGCGCCCTGATAGACGCGGCGCGCGGCAGCGGCGCGCACAAAGGCGCGGTACGGTGCGGCGGAAGAGGACCGCGGCCGCTTCCTGTTGCAGTGGCTTTGGGCTTTGCTCGCTGGAGTTTTTCTTCGCTATGATTGACAGACGCAGCAGAGGTTTACACGGGCATGTCCTCACATTCGCTCGGCTTTTATCCTAACTAAAAGATCTGCAGAAATGGCGAGTGAAGAAAGGAGCCACAGTTCTCGCCATTTATTAACAGAAACCAGAACATCATTTGTCGCTTTACTGCGGATGTTATTTATTGCTTTTATTCACACGACGCGGGCAAATCAACAAGGTTTGTAACGTTAACTTAGCTTTTGACGTTAGCCTGGGCTAACTTCCGTAGACATTTCTGGTGAAGTGTGGCTTGGGGCTAGCCTTCCCTTTAACTGGCCACTTTTACCACCCCTGCTGCCCTCTCTCTAACATTATTTATTACAGAAAACTGCTTGCTTGTGGTATGTTTTATGTTGTTAGCAGTAGCCTACACATAAAGCTAGTACTGAGTGTTGACAGAGGTCCCATCCAGAACTCGTTGTCATTTGTACTAGTATTTCCTAAAAGCTTGCATTGGACAACTTTATAGCCTTTAAACACTGTTATAGTTTAGCTCCGGAAGGATTATTTGCACGGGCTTACATCACTTACTGTGTGATTTCAATTCATTGGAATGAAAAGTTGTCATGCACACTTGGAATAAAAAGTGACTGCTTGGGTGCTGTCAGCTTCCTCATAAAACTCAAAACGGAACGTAAACGTGGCTAGTTTTTTGTGACGGGTCCAGTGAGCAAAGTCATAAGAGCATGTTTATGTCAGATTATCATGTCAGACCACCCTGACACACACAGCAGCTTTCAGTGGACTTCTGTCATTCACTGACATCTATGATAAGCTGTGCCAAGTCTGAAACGTGTCCCGTGCCTTTACAATGTTTACAGTAGTGCCAAAATGGAGCAACACGTCCTAGTCTCTTATCAGTGCTTGATAGATAGACTTCATAAAACGTCCAGGGACTTCTGCAAACATTGTAGATGTGGGAAACTTTGAATGCACAGCTGGCAATCTACAATCAAAAAATGCAGTCTTCTCTGATAGTTTAAAGCATATATAATTTTGCATGAGCCAAAAAACAAAACAAAAAACAATACATACCACATTAGCATATTGATAATGTTGTCAGCCTTGTGCTTGGCCTCTGTATTAAGTTACATTGTGATTTTTTACTCGTGTAAGAATTTGGATTTTGTTGATTCTTGTTGTTACATTTTTCAGTTTTTGTACTGCAATAGGCTTTTTCCGTTTTAAGAGAGAGCCGCAGATTTCCTCTTCATAGCTTTTGTTAATCACTTATAAAAGTACAGTTACTAAATCCTTATCGATACTAAAACTAGTACCAAATCAATACTAAAAAAGTCACATTCACAGGACAGAAATGACCCTGTCCTGAATAGATTATGAATGATCTTGAGCTGTATCAGATTAAGTATAAGAGTACATAGACTAGTAAACACACACGAACCATTATCATGAACATAACTGGATGACTGTGGTATTATACATAGATAAAAGACCATAAGACCATCGTAATATAAAAGAAACTAACATAATTCAGTGTTTTAAAATCACATCATCATGGTACCAGAAACAGTATTGCGTCTACTCTTTAGTATCAAAATAGTTTGAAATTTTAGCATCGTGACAACACTATCTTGCATTGTAAAATACATCAAAGATGTTGGGAACATATTTCTTCCTCATTTCTTGATCTGAGGGTTAGTGGGAGGGTAGGAGATAGCACTGGAAGACATCAAACTGGGTTCAATTCAAGTTCAGGGATGCCACATAGAGGAGGATAATGTATATGAGGATTACAGCAGGTCTCTCTCACACACACACTCCTGCTCTAGCAAGCATCGGTTAATTCAATGTAGCGTTTCATTTGTCACTACATGTCAAGGCTAATTACTGGTTAAATGCTGGATTTGTTTTCAAACTGTGGCATAAGAGCATTAATAGGGGGGTTTATGTCGCTGCTGTGGTGATAAAAGCTTTTCTGTTTGGTGAAAGCAAAAGTAATTATATTTTTAGTTTAGCTTTGCAGGAAGTTCTCATGACCTTGGTTGAAGCTATCTAGAAATGATGATTGTGGTTACAGAGATTACAAAAATCAGTAATCATTTGTCTGTGATAAATTATAATTACATACTAGTATATTGCCCACGTGCCTTGTTGTCGTAGTGTGGTCAGAAAGGACCCGAGATTAAAGTTCAAATGTACTCTTATCTTTTTAGTGGTAATATTAGTTACATGGTCGGCTGTATGATGGCTGCAGAAGTTAAAGCAGAAGTTAGCAAGAAGAAAAAACTACGAAAGCAAACAGCCAACCTATCGAATAAAGAACGTCTCTTTACTTTTACGTTTTCTATTTAGTGTTTATTTTGAACTTGTATCTGATAAAAGATAGAAGACCCCAGTGAAATTCTCTAGTGTTTGTTAAGCACACGTCTGGGGCAGCTGTCAATTAGACTGTTGTTCCTAGTCTGTGAATATATATATTTTCTATTAATAGAACGTTCTATAACCACTGAAGTTTTGAGAATTTCTTAATTTAAATATAATAATGGGAAAGCAGCAAGTTGTTTATCAGAAAGAGGAACATAAATAGGTTCCGCCGCTTATCTGCTGTTATATTTGACCAATAACTATATGAGGATATCATATCATAACTGATTTTGTCAAATATTCATCCTACTATTCTTTTTTTTATTCAGAATGTGAGTTGAATCTTGTTCTTAATTTTGCTTTAAATTGTCAGGAAAGCTCAGAAAAGTGTGAACAGTACACAATTTGCCTCTGTTAAAATTGTATAGTCTGGAACACTGATCTTCTAATTAACTATTTATAAACTGTTCTGGACAATATGTTGTGAATATGAATAGTATTTAACCTGTGTGTACTGTTGTATTGAAACCTCTCTTCTGTCTCCACAGCATTCATACAATCAGACACCATCTTAGAAGTTCTACATTTTGGTGAGGGGAGTCTATTACAGGTAACGCTGTGGTCTACCTTCTGTCCAAATTTAGCTTGCCCTAACAACTCACATCAGGCGTCTAACTATTCTCTTTTCGCAGGCGGACTCCGATATTGATTTTAGTTTATATCACCAACAAAGGTAGGTGCTTCACATATCTGCTGTCTTCAAGTAAAGTAAAGTTTAATGAAAGGGCTATCATCATTATTATTAGTGTATTATTTTGGCTTTTGTTCCACCAACACAAGGGATATAATAATCCATTGATTGTACATTTCTACACTTCGCGGGTTGTTGTTAGTAACTGTATTATTACGTAGGCATTAGATTGAAAGTGTAGGCGTTGGAAGTCAAAATATTTTAGTCATGATATCACATCCATATGTTGGCTACCTTAGTATGACCGCTAGATCAGACTAATCCTAAATTTAAAATGCTGGTTTGTGAAAAGGGAATGAAAAACTCATTGATCTCTTGAATGTGTAAGTGGCAGTGACAATGAGTTGTCATGAAAACCTGTTTTATGTGACTTGTTGTATCAGCTGCATCAGTCTCTTACCACTCCAAATTACTCTGGATATACAGGTTTTATGATATGCTCCACTTGTCAGTCTGTAGTGCATTACATGATGACAAATGGATCCATTCGTGGCTTTCTGAGAGCAGTAACACCTGGAGGACTTGGTGTACTGAGCTGGAGATTACATCATTGTTTTAAGGCAATATTTCTACACGGGAGGGAAGAGGCTATAATTGCATTTAATACTTCAGGCACAGATTTTGTTCCAGCTTTAAACCACAAGCGATTAACGTTTATTTAAGTAATTCTCCATCTTTTCTCACCAAGTAACACGTCAAATTCACTAAACTGAAAGTACCTCTAATAAGCTCTGTTAAGATGGGGCTTAAACAGAGCTAAACCTAGTATTAAACCAACTAATAAACTAAAAGTTGGCCCAAACAAGGACAATTGTGAATCTACTTAACTCAATAACTAAACTAAGACTAAAGCTCGGCCAAAAATTGGATCAAAACCCGGGCCTGAACCTGGACCTAAATCACAAGTACACACTAAACTAGGGCAGGGATTTCCATTTAGATGTTAGTTACTCCTCACTTGTTTTGTCTAATTGCAGTGTATGGCGTCTGCTGTATGTATGCACCGCGAACTTGCCCATAAAAGGGTTATCTTGTACAGACATACCAGAACCACTCCCTTCTCTTTTTACATTCATAATTTAGAAAGGCTGTATGTCTGTCATATTTTTCTCAACTCTCATTGTCTATTGATAACATAACAACAACAACATCAATATAATTGTGTGAACTGTTTATCGCAGTTGTATGCAAGTAGAAAAATAATAAAAACAATTTTCTTTTAGACAATAGACAAAATAAACAAACCCATATATTTTATCATTCATAGTCAACAACCAAAATGTCGCTTCAGCAAATAGAAAGTACCTTTGGTCTTTGTTGTCAATATCTAGATAAGTTAAACCTCATTTCTTGGGCTCTTGGTTTTGAAGCTGTATGTAAAGTTCAGCTTGACTCTGGACATAAGCAGCTGGAGAGGCCAAGAGACGGCATGATCTGCACCTACTCCAATTACAAGCCCAAAGCATTAGCTCCTCAGCACTAACCCAGCTAAGACTACACAGATTTTATAGCCTCGTGGTCCTGTGTATGCTAACGTGACAAATATTTCACAAGTTAGATGGGAAAGTAGGAAGAAGTGAAAGGTGTATCAATCCACTGAAAAGAAGTAAGCTGTATAGGGGCATATATATCTGAACTTAGACTTTGCCTTTAGACAAACTATTGATCCACAGTGACATTATATGGACGCAGTAGATCACAAACTACTATGTCACTGCTCTTATGTTGCAGTTGCACAGTACAGTGTACAGACTTGGACTATTTAAATCAAGAAGTACAGAAGTAAACATTCTTTCTTATCTTACAATGATATAGAGGCAATTTGGCCAAATAAACAAAATAGGGTCATATTGCAATTTTGTTACACAGTCAAAAGAATACATGTGTGCATAGTACCGTAGCTTTATATTGCTTTTAAGAGACAACTAAAGCTTTCTGCTCCTTTGTCGGCCAATAGGAGAGTGGGTGGGGCAAAGTACACATCTTGTACTGGTGTAAAAGCATTCAGCTGCATAAAAGACAATAACACTGAATCACATCATCACAGGCACGTCCAACAAATTATCACCAATCCAATATTTCCTTTTTACTTATCTTAATTAAAAGATCTACTGAAATGAATGTATAGATTTTGTTTTGCAGTGATTTGATGTTAGCATAATTGGTTTCAAACTTGACATAATTTATTTCTTGACACATTACTGACCTCTCCTTGCCTTTTAAAAGACCTCCTATTAACAACATTTTTCACACTTCACTGTAACTTTTGCACTGTCAACTCAGGGACATGTTTAATCCCAAAAGAATGTAGTTGGTAGTTGTTTTATTGTGATGAGTGTGGGCTGGCAGAGGCGTGTGGGGTTGTTCCAGTAGTGCCTCCCGGGAGAGAAATCCATCCCTGTCTACTCTGAGCTCAGCGGCTGTGGCCATTGTGTCCTACGTACATGCAGACTGTGTAGTAAAGGGGTGAAATGGATATGAGCTGAGCATTTGACTAGAGGGTAATCTCGGAGTAATGACTTTAGCACTACAGATGAGTATCCATAGAGACTGAATCCTGGTTCACATGAGCTTATCGGGTATTTGTTGAAAAAGAGTTAAGTGGGGTTAGTGTGTGTAGTATTTTTTTTTTTTTGTAGAAATTGCTGACTTTTGGTAATACCAGTCAACACGCTCATTGTTTAACAGCATACACTTCAGTGACATAATACTTTTAATTTCATTTTACTTTCAATGATATTCTACACATTTGTGACTCAGTAGTGTTTGTGTAGTACATTTCTATACATGTAATTATTTTTTCCTCTCTTATGACTTATGACCACCAAAGACAATGATCTGCTTCATAGTTTACGTGTAAATTTGGAAAATTTTATGACTTATGTTCTTCCTTTCTTCTGTATAGACAGGAAGGGCAGTAGCTCCTTTTGACTGAATTGTAGGTCAGTAACAACGCTTAATGAAAATAAATGCATGTGTCTATTGTGAGTGTTTAGGTGTGGACCATTTGAACCCTGAAATAAATTGTCACTCTGAACTGTACACACCACACCTGCATTGTTAATGAACTTTTCCATAAGATTTACATACAGCTCTCATTACTCGAAATGTACCTCCACTAAAGACAGACCTGGCTCCTCTTCAAGGACAGCCCAGCCTATTGTTGCTCTACACCTGTCGTCCAACAGGTTTGGTAGCTTGTGTGTGTGTCCTGTGCTCAGGGTGCGCAGCCGATGCTCACTTGTGCGTCGTTCTGCTTTGGGAGCACTTCAAACTTAGAGCTTTGTTTGTTGTGTTGTTGTTTCACTCTTGCAATGGACACCTGTGAAGACTTTACATATGGAAATGGTGTACCGTGGATGGGAGTGGTTCTTGGCTGCCAGCGACACTTATAAAAAACTGAAACAGAAAGTTCGGGACACAGTGTTTTTAGTTGCTTGTTAGCTTGAACCAGTCCAGCATGGGTTCGAGTTTTCCTACCTTTCTCTTCCTCATGACATACCTTTTTCTGTCCCGTAGCACGTCCCCGCATCGAGGGAATTGCCGCCCTATAAGATTTGAACCTCCAATGTTGGATTTCCATGAACAGTGAGTGCTTTATTCTCCTATTTAGCTGATTGTTTTAAAACATGACTCGGTGATTTATATTAATATGATCGAGCCACACCTTGTAGCTTGCAAAGCCAATGTGGTGAAGGCATACCAAAAGCATTAACCATATCTGTGGTATTCTCTGAACCAAACCCATGTAATGCCACGTCTAATGGACGGGACTTAAGGCTGCCTGCTCCACCCTTACAGCCCAGTGCACACCTCCATCTGCAACCAAACCGCACCTGCATCGATCTTTTATTTGAGTAACGTGCACAGTGACTGTCTAAACCATATTTTTTTTACATTATATTACAGCAAACTTTGCAACGTTTATAACAGCACCAATATTCAGTTCACTGTGCTCATTTTAACCAAACTAGATGCATTAACACTTGAGGCAGTACTGCACTGAAATGTACTGTAAACCTAAGAATAATAAGAATCACAAACCTTTAAGCACATGTTTGTAGAGCTGTAAACTAAACTATTCTTCGCTTTCAGATAACATCACAACTTTCTGTATGCCACTAGTACAGATGTGATTGGCTAAAAATCTAGATTTAGACACTTACTGAAATGATCAGGTTAAGCATTTGTAAATTTACCTTTGGATATTTCTTATAACAATACAATAGCAAATAATGTAATTAATGATGAAGTGAGTTTTGGTTAGAGTTAAATAAGACTTAAGTAACCAAATAGAAGATGGAAATTAAGCATTCAGACCTGATCTTAAAAACTGGAAGATGGTAAACTTAAGCTGTGGCCATGCAAAGTGGTGTGCACAGAGCGGGCATTAGGGCGGAGTATGTAAATGCTTTTATAACCCTTGACCATAAATGAACAATCACACTTGCCTACTCATCGACCACTCAGATGTAATGTTTTATGACTACAAATCTTAAATCTTTTGTTTCTCCAAGGTCCAACACAACACAAAAAATCTGAATTATTAGTATGTTTAAGACATATTAATGCATTGCCACTGTTCTTGCTGTTGAGAGCTCTGTAAAAGGTTCTGTAAACTATATTAAATGGGCAAAATTCATTACTGAATACAAAGCCTGTAGTCCTAATGTGATTTTGTCTGCTCTGGAGACTATGCCTATTCATAAAACCCTATCATAACACTTAAGTAGCGGTTAATATTAGCCATTTATCAATTTGTAACGCATTTGTGTTTTTCTCTACAGTTTTAGCTTGAAGCTTGTTCTAACTTCATGTTTCTTGTTTACAGACCTGTTGGAATGCCAAAAATGGAGAAAGTTTATTTACATAATCCTAGCTCAGAAGAAATAAGTTTGATATCAATATCAGCAACAACAGCACATTTTCATGCATCCTTTTTCCAAAATAGGGTAAGTACATTCTCACAGTGAATAAAGGTATTGTAAGGTCTGGGGATAGCAGTGCCATTAGGCAAATTTCCTCCAAATCTAATATTGGTTTCTTTAAAGAACCTCCAGATCACCATCTTGTTTTCGCATTAGTCACAAAGTCATGGGTTCTGCCACACATGATTCTATCACACTGTAGATTTGCATTTGTTTTGCTTATTCTGACACTACTCTATCCACAGCCCCCTTCTGTTTACTAAAAAGAGCAGTTGATTCTCTATTGGCAATAGCAAAAAGAGGCACATTATCCTTGTTTCGCACCTAGATATTGGTGTGTGATTATAAGCCTATAAAATAAACCTTTTTTTATACTGAAAGCTTTTTTATTCGCATTAAGTTTAGATTTCGTGACATTTATAAATAATTCTTCTTTCTTGCCACAAAATGGAAGTTGACAAGCTAAGAATAGAAGTCTAATTATGTTTATATGACTGTCTACTTCAACTTCTTCAAGAAAAAAATATGTATCTTGTTACATCATCTTTACGTACTAAAGTTATTACTATGACAACTATGTGCTCTTCATTGCAGTGTGCCTAGATTTGGAAAGGCAGTCGTGAAATATTTGTAATGAGTGAATTTAATAGATTACTCTTTGAAACCATTTCATGATGTAGTGCCCATAGGGAATTCTGCAAATAGCTCACTTATACACTTATACATTAATCTAAAAAAATTGTGCAACAGCATTTAGTGAATGTCATGAAATTATTTATATTATATTTTAATTAGAAGAATGTTTTGTCTATACAAGTACAAGTACAATTTTGAGTTGGTAAACACTCTCTTCTCAGGAAATATCTGCTCTGTGTCTTGGGGCATTACTAGGTGATAGACAGTAGTGTGAAGAAATTTAAAGAAGCTACTGTGATCCGGGACTTTTGACATGTAAACTGAAATACAAGAGGACATACTTAACAGCAGATAGACTGGTGTTTGCGATGATATTTCAGTTGACAGATATTGTAGCAAAACACATGTAGAGACACAAGTGTACTGGAGCTTAGAGATTTGTTTGTTCTTCTTAAATGCATGACAATAAGCTGTATTGTCTAAACAGAAATACAGACTTTATTTTATCTTATCCTATCTTCCTGCTTTTAACCTGTACTAAATATTAGATATTGAAATTGAATTGAAATTATATCATAATTAAATAAACTCATCAAAAACTACAATTACATATCAAAACTGAAAATAAAAATAAAAAGGGAAGACTTCTGATTAAGTGTCCTTCCACTTGAAAATGTGTGAACCACTGCTGTAGCCTTCATTGTGAGCTCACAAAAGTAGTTTTAATATGTGGTTTAGAAGTATGTTTTTAAAACTATGAGACTTATTAAACAAGCCAGAGAATAGACAACCTTTGATTTGTTTTGAAGTTGATTATCCTTCTTGGACTCTTTTTGGATATATTATACTAGTACTTTGATACATAGTGATGTTTACCTATTTGAATATTTATTGAGTTCCGCTCATGTCTGGGGCAGTGGTTATACACACACACTGGGTTTAGCTCTAGTGAAAAACTAGTGACTCATCTTTGCATTCTTGCTTCCTCTTTTCTTGTTTGAATTTGTTAAAAAGTGCTGTAAAGTAGGCTCAGTGAACAATGCAGCAAGTGAGAGAGGCACTCCTACTTTTTTGCCAAATGACCTACATCTGCATCAAAGGCCTTGTTTTTTACTATTTTCTGGCTAATGTACATATTTAGTTATAATTACATAAATATTTGTTTAAAAGAGAATAATCAGTTATTACCATACAATGTATATGTAAATGCCACGTTTTAAATAGGGAGTGAGCATTAGCTTGCTTCTGGCTCCATGGACTCCAGTTTACTTCACTTTGTATTGCAATTTTGCAACTAGTCAAACCCTCAGCACCACTCATTCACTCACTAGCAGACATCACAGTCTCTCCACCAAAATGCTAAACTTGGCGCACAGCTGTAATGTGTTTGTATGGGCACCTTTAGGGTCAGGTGTTGTCGGGGGTGATTGGAGGTCACTACATTCTAATAATGTGTCTTTTCTTTTCTGTTCTTTCTGCAGATAATTCCCCCTGGAGGAAACACATCATTTGATGTTGTTTTTCTCGCTCGAGTAGTTGGAAATGTAGAAAACACTTTATTTATTAATACTTCACATCATGGAGTCTTCACATACCAGGTATAAATAGCATTTTAGGGCGTGTCTGCTGTCATAGATAGTTGTATCAAAGTAAATAAATGACTATGATTTAGTGATTGCAGCACTACGCTACATTAACTCAGATCTGTGGAGAGTCACTCCTATCATAATGGATAAATGCTAGATCGATATTTTTAATGTCATCCCATAGAATCTTCCAGAGCAAGTAATAACATCTCAATGCAGACAAGCAGAAGATGGACACTCCACCAAAAAAGTTGCGCAATGCAAATTTAAATGAACTAGTTCACATGTAAAGCAATGCCATGTTTTGCACAACTAGCTGTGTTGTTTTGGTTTTGGCTCTTTGCTTGACCAATCAGGTTGCTGCATATTGACACACCTTTGCAGACAGGACTATCTTGTTCAACACCTAGTTATTAGCAGTACTGTACTAATTAATTTTAAAAAGCAAATAGGTTTATATATACCAACAAACCAGAAAAAATGTGAAAGAACATATAAACATGATTTCTATATAATTCTGTTGTCTCTCCTGTCCCTGTAGGTTTTTGGGGTAGGCATCCCAAACCCATACAGGCTGCGTCCGTTTATAGGGGCCCGTGTCCCGGTGAACAGCAGCTTCTCTCCTCTCATCAACATCCACAACCCGTTTAGTGAGCCTCTACAGGTGAAGCACAGGCCTGCTTAATGTTGTTTAGAATAGAAGTGAATCATTGTTTGACGGGTTTCTATTTCTGTACCGGAGGTTGTGGAGATGTACTCCAGTGGTGGGGACCTGCACCTAGAGCTTCCCACTGGACAACAAGGAGGGACTGGGAAACTATGGGTTAGTTACTGTTTTATAAATGTATTTTTAGTTTCACAGTTTGACAATAATTGATATCACTTAAAACACTATGATGCAACTTAAAGCTACTTATTGACTTTGAAATTTATTTTTAAGTATTTATAAATTTTGTGCGCTGTTGTGGAATTATAAGCCTATTCTAGCTATCAATCTCTAACCTGTCTTTACACTTACAATACACTCACTCATCATTAATTTTACAGTTTTAGAAGTTTAGTTGTAACTGTGCTCCAATTGTACTGATTCCAGGAGATTCCTCCATTTGAAACAAAGGGAGTGATGAGAGCCAGTTTCTCGTCTAGAGACGCAGACAACCACACAGCGTTTATCCGAATAAAAACCAACGCCGCGGATGATCAGTTCATCATCCTCCCAGTGGAAGTGGAGGTCTCGTCAGGTCTGAACCATTTTACAAGTGCACAAACACAATGTTGTGGGTTGAAACAATATAAAAATGAATCTCCAGACACAGCACAGTTGTACAACATTAGTTCATTTTGACATCTCACGTTGAACCGGGTCAATCAAGGTTTTATTCAGAATTTACCATTGTAGCTTGTGGTTGCCTTCATTTTTCCTCCCATACATGTTTAGATAATGTATTTATCAGACAGTCACTGCCGTAAACATACATACCAGTGTAACAAACAACTTTAAAATGTTTGTTTGTTTTTTTCACTTTGTAGCACCTGGTATATACTCCTCTACAGAAATGCTTGACTTTGGCACACTGCGGTCACAAGGTATGGCCGCCTACAACAACTGTGAAACTCGACAGGAAAATGGTCCGCCTTCAACTTTGTCTAATTTTGTGGTTTGTTCTACTTCCTCAAACAGATCGGCCAAAACTGCTAAATCTACACCTCTTAAATTCAGGAACCAAAGACGTTCCAATAACAGTATGTGGCATTTCAGTGACTTGTAAACATTCATAGCAGTTTATATATTAAAACTTTTCTTCTATTTTGCCCAATTTCCAGAGTGTACGCACAACACCGTCAAATGACGCTGTTACAATAGACTTCAAAGCAGTAACACTTAAAGCAGGAGAAAGCAGATATACCAAAGTAGCAAGTATAAGTTTTGATGGTAAGTTTTTACCATATTAAGTCTGTCTAGTCATTTGTTTAGCCACTTCGCCTCTGACAGTGGCCCTTTATGCCCTGCTTTGCGTGTTTGCACAACTTCCTCTTTTGTGGGGTGGTTTGCATATTTTTTTTTAGCTTGTCTATCTCCTGTTTCATCTGTCACTTTTGTATCTTCGCAGCATCTAAAGCCAAAAGACCATATCAGACTTCGGGTAAAATAACAGTAAAAGCAAAAGAAAAGAGTTACTCCAAGCTTGAAATCCCTTACCAAGCAGAAGTGTTAGAAGGGTGAGTCCTTTTGCGTAATAACGGCTTTAGTTAAGATTTTGTAAAGTAATGAGAAAGCTTTACAGGTCTATGGATATAAGACACATTTTAAAAATCTTTGTTTAAAGGTCAGTTAAATACAATCAATTCAATCATTGTGTCCTTAGGCAAGACACTTTGCCCAATTTGCCTAGTATGAAAGTGGTGTGTGTGTGAGTGATGGTGGTGGTCGGAGGGACCGATGGCGCTGAGTGGCATGACAGCCGTGCTTCTGTCAGTCTGCCCCAGGGCAGCTGTGGCTACAATAGTAGCTTACCATCACCAGGTATAGAATGAATAAATAATGTTGAATAATTCTCTGTAAAGCGTCTTTGGGGACAGAAAATGTCTGTGAAAGCGCTATATAAATAAAGACTTGCTTACTTACTTTCTTACTAAAAAAAAGCATACATATTGACTGTAGCAGTCCTGTAGGGTTTGGGTTTACATTTCCATTGCCATTCTTCAACGATATCACTTCCAAAACACTTATTTCAGTATATTACTTGAGAGATAATACTTGTGCTATTGAGTGATAACCATTTCACATTCATGTGGATCCCAGGAAGAATAGTTATTACTGATTTATTTATTTATTTATTTATTTGAGACAGGGACAGCGCACAGTTTTTTTTACATTAACCTTAACAGGAGAGATGCATTGTACCAGGTTGTAGCATCAGTGCTAATTTCCACCTATAGCCCCTGGACGGGTTTCATAACTACTGGAGATCCAAAATAAATAAATAAATGCAATGTAGTTATCATTGACAAAACCTAAAGACACTGGTTTAATTATTTCTGTTTGGGCATATTTTCGTCACGTAATTGTTTCTTTTATATTTATGATGTTTGGGTTATTTAAATTGGTATTGCCTGCATTATTGCCTACCTGATATCTAAATAAAACTGACATAAACATCTAAATGTTTTCTTTTATGTTGGCAGGTACCTAGGGTTTGACCACACAGCAACATTGTTCCACATCCGGGACAGTCCAGTCGACCCAGTAGACAGGCCCATTTATCTCACAAATGCCTTCAGCTTTGCTATCAGGATCCATAATGTGTCACTGCCGGAGGAGGCAAAAACCATGTTCAATGTAAGTCTTGCTTGAATTAGTTGGCAGCAGTGCCTCTGCTGGCAACTTTTGGGAGTTATGGATTTGGTCATTTTAAGTTAGCAGCATGGCTGTTATCAACCTTCCAAATGTGTTTGATTTGAAGTTTAGTGAAGGTGTATGAGGAAAAAATTACTTGCTGGTTCCACTTGTTTACATAATGTTTAAAGTTCAAAACATTCTCAACAATGTCCCATTTAAGGGTTCTCTGCTTCTCTGCTGGGTTTGGCTCAATAAGGTGATTGAATCTTACCTGACTTGAGCTATTTCTTTTCTCATCTGTCTTTCACATATTTTTGAATATTCTATGGTAGTGGTTCTCTAACATCTCTCACCAAATATGACTGAACTCTGTTAATCCTAAAGATAAAGCTGCTTAACCAGGCCTAAATGAAACTAGTCAAATTTATATGGTGGCCTGACCGTTTGATCTTTTTCCACCTAATCCACAAAGACTGTTCATAAGATCCCTTGAGGCCCGTTGTGTGTTAAACCTCAGCATTTGATTTTATATCGTAGATGTCAGCTTTGTAGTGTACAATGTAATGTATGTGTCAGCATTTGCACAAAATTAATAAAGGATACTGTGTTTACCTTCTGAAAGCAGTAATAGCCTCATGTCACAAGTCTCTAAAAAACAGTGAAGGAACAAGTTTAACCAGTGGCAAAGTGACCCAAAATGTCTGCAATTGTTGATCTAAAAATGAACTGAGTAAGACACTTAATTCTAGAGTGGAATACATGTGTGGACAAAGTAAGTAATGTGGCAATAGGACTGGTTCACAAAAAGATGACAACCAATCTTGTCCTTATTGCAATATTAAACATAGTTATAGCTCAGGGCTGAAGTTACCTCTAACCAAATATTGGTAGATTTTCTATTATTGTGCTGATCTTGGAAGCCAAGCAGCGTTTGGCCTGATTAGTATCTACATGGGAGACCACTCGGAATACCGGGGGTCGAAATGGGGCAGCAGTGGCTATAAAGCATACTGGTGATATGTCCTTAGGCAAGACACTCCACCCACCATGCCCAGTATGAATTATAGTTTGTAAATGAGTCATTATTTGTGGTTGGTGCAGATTGGCAGCCTTGCTTTTGTTCAGTATAATGCCCTAACAAATTATTTACCCAGACATTATAAAACAACTTCAATTTTGACATTACAATTGGACTATTATTTCTGAACCTTTTTGTAACCACTTTCTTTGATGTTCAGGTGCAGAACTTCAGCGCGCCCATCGTCATCCCACCTCACGAGTCCCGGAACATCTTCTCCCTTTTGTTCAGACCGATCCGACCATCCATTCACATTGACAGCAACCTCCTCCTCATCACAAACGCATCCAAGTTCCACCTGCCGGTCCGGGCTTACACTGGCTTCCTCGAGGTATGTTTGAAACCACAGAAACTCACCCCATTGCAGTCTTTTAAATTGGGATGAGTATGGTTGATTATCTTGGACTGAGGACCATGCTGTTGTCCTGGGCCTATTACCTATTGTCTGTGGTCTGTTAACATGTTTATCAGTCCTATTACAGAAAAAAAAAAACAAACCTAATATATATATGATGTATTTGCCAAAAAAAAAAAAAAATTGAATGAGGGTGAAATACAAATAAAACATAACACAAATAATCTCTTTGAACCTAAAATAATGACACCCACGTTTGGGCTTTTTGTTGCCGTGTAGGAAGAAAATCTTTTTAAACTGGGACAATGTTTACAAAGTTAAGTAAAAAAAGTCCATACTCGTGTAACATGTGCCTTTGTTTGTGTACAGCCCCTAGTCCTGCCCCCCAGTCTGAGGGAAAACCTGCTGGACTTTGGCATTCGCAGTGCTACTGACACCAGCAGCATCACGTTTGTTGTGGTTAACAGCAATCCCATAGAGGTCTGTGAACATGTTGTCTGTCACAGTCTTGTACTGTAAATATTTGAAATGTCTCTTTTGTAACACATGTGTACGTTCATAGGTATAAGGTTAGAGGTGCAGACTTTTTTTTAAATGACCAATGTAAAAAAACACTTAAACTTTTATACCAGAACTGACATTGATATTTCCTGGAATGTTCCCCTGTATGGCATTAAACTTATCTATCTGCTCTCCACAGATTTGAACTGTAATTCAACCTAGTGATCACACTTGTCTGTCTCCATGGAGATGGATAAGGCTAATATCATACTGTGGAACATTCTAGGAAAAACAATAACATATTCTCAGCAACAAGCATGTCACAGACCGCTCATCAGAAAAGTTACATACTGCACCTTTTAAGCATAATTTCTTCTTTTAGTAAGTGAACTTATTAAATTATATTTGTATTATTTGTAACATGTATTTGGGAAAGTTTTTTTGTTACAAAATGCACATAATAACTCATAAAGTAATGTATGAAATGTCCAGTTTTGAGTTCATTTGAAATTCAATAATTTTACTCAACTCACTCACACACTTCACACATAATTAATTCTCGGTTGACAAATCTAAATGTTTAGTATATGTTTGTTGTGGAACTCCTTTTCTAAAGCCCATTTTGCTTGTTCAGTTGGAGCTGAAGTCGTGGCTGGTGACTGGAGACAGCCTCTCCATGGAGCTATTGAGGACAGAGAGGGGGAACAGCACCGTGGCTCTGAGTCGCCTCCGAGAACTGCAGAACGCTTCTGCTTCTTCACACAGAACGGTAATACAACTGGGACACCACTGGGATTCTTTTGTGTCTAATTCAGTTATTTGAAGAATTCTCAATTGTGACAAACTGAAAAAGCAGATATACTTTTTGTTAGTCCGTCTTTTCTTTTTCTGTACATTTTTTTATCTATTCAATATTTTTATAATTAATTTTTTTCTGAAATGGACAAATTCACTGTAGTTGGCTTTCAATTCAGTTTATTTGCATAGTCTTATGTTCAAAGTATACATAAATCTAATTTAGGGGGCTATACAGAAATTGTGATTGCATTTGCTTGTGGAACATGTGTTCAGCAAACTGCATCACATCACTGAAATGCAACAAAACTGGTTTGTAACTTAATAAAGCATCTAATTTACTTGGCACTGATTGATTCATTCCACTGTCACAGTGTGTAATTACTCACAACTCACTAATCTTAACTCTGGTATTACTTGTTCATTCACATTTACTGATTTTTGCTGCTTCCATTCCTTCCATTCAGTATGTTTTTTTTAATCAACATTTTAAGTCTAACAGGCCTGGCATCTCTTTTCAAGGCGATACTGGCATCTGGGTATTACGCAGTGTTTCGAGTCACGCTGATTGCCAAGGCGCTTGAGGGCACATACGACGGAGCTGTTCACATAACCACAGACTATGAGGTGGGCACAATCCCATGTGCAGGAAATCTTTCAAAATGTCAGTGTTTTATGTAATGTGGTTTTGTTGTTTCATTTGCTCTCTAGATCTTAACCCTCCCAGTGAAAGCGCTCATCGCTGTGGGAGCGTTAAGCAGCTCTCCCAAACACATAGTTTTGCCGCCTTCATTTCCAGTGAGTACTAAAAATTACTTGGAATACTGCTGTGCGTTTCATTAGCAGAAAACATTATTTGCTTTGTTGCCTTGCTAGGTCTGTGTAATTGCCCTTTTAATATTGGTTTATCTTCAGACTTCTGCAGTCTAAAAAGACATATATTTTCTGTGTATTCTTTTTAACCTATCTTCTCTTACATCTGAGAGTATACCTATAATTAAAAAAAAAAAAAGTATAAATAAAATAAAACTTATAACATTGTATTTTGTTTTTCTTCAGGGTAAAGTGGTCCACCAGAGCCTGAGTATCCAGAGTTCATTCACACAGAGAGTTCGTCTGCAGCAGATTCGCTCCCTCACTGAAGACATCCGCTTCTTTTACAAACGACTCAGAAACAACAAGGACGAGCTGGAGCCCAGACGAAAATCAAAGGTCTGTTTCTCCCGGTGAAGCTCGAATGCCATTTGTCCCTAAGCAGCGACTTATTTGCTTTCCGCTCCATCTTTTCCAGGTGGCAAATATTTATTTTGATGCCAGCTTGCAGTGTGGTGATCACTGTTATGTGGGGCTGCCATTTGTGCTTAAATGTAAGTGTTGTTGTAAACTGGTTGTAAAATATTAGAGCTGCACGGTATTGGAGCTGCACAGTATTAGACCACATTCTATGTTACGTTACTTGTCCTCAATTTCACCTTTGATAGTTATATTTTTTGAATGACTGATTTGTAAATTAATTTTTAGTAAACAGTATTGGCCAGTTTAGGGTTTGCAAACAGCATCAACAAGATATTCTCATGGACTAAAATCAAAATTAACTAAACTTCAAGTGTCTGAATGTCTTACTGTACTACACAACTATACAACTACTGCAAATATTTGAGTTCAATATTTTGGTGGAAAAATCATAAAATCAAATCATATTTTACAGTTTAATTGCTTGGCTATGACGACTGATTACTTAATATGATAGAGCCAATATTGTTTTAGTATGGAATATAAAAAGAATGTCATTTTAATCACATTCACTGCGGTTTGTGTAATATTATTATTTTCAGAGTCAAATCATGCCTCAAGTTTACTTGGCATTACTATAGCTAGCATAGGTAACAGTAATTTTCACACATTGTGCAGCCCTAATTTGTATCAAAACACAGCATCAAATTGATTGCATTTTGTTACCACAGCTGAGTCAAAGCCTCATGTACAGGCTTTGCAGGAAGACATCTGGGATGCAGACGTCGACCTTCATCAAAAACTCCTGCGAAGATGGATGGAGCTGAAAGAGCGCATGGGACACAAGTAAGCAAAGTGTTACTACATTGGTTTGGTGATTTGATTTAACACTTAAATCGGCCACACCACAGCAGCAGACTATATAGGGGCCAGTCACAGGATCTGTCTCTTTGTTGTTCTAAAGGATTGAAGCGGTTTTTGAAGTGAACACAGATCTGCAGAAAAACGTTCAGGCCAAAGTTACAGCTCAACTGACCTGGCCCTCCCTCGTCAACTCCTCACAGAGAATAACCTTTCCTCTCACCAACACAAACTCCTCCTCTGTGAGTAGACTGTTTATAGTATTTCATTCTGTGATATCTCTTAGTTTTGTTACATGTTTACAACAACTGTGTCTAAATGTTTCTCAAAGTCCATATTTTTATAGACTATATTCATTTGGATGACTGCTACTCAGTCAAGTTCAAATTCTCTAGTGTTTAAAGCGATGTGTGTATTTGAATGTGTTCTGCCTCCAGGATGAGGAGGTGATACTTCAAAACCCAGCGGATGTCCCAGTTTATGTTCAAGTCCTCCCTTTGGCCCTGTTACCAAATCCCTCGGTGTTCTCTGGGAAATTGGCAGACAGGTAAGGAATCTACGTTCATTTTAGTAAAACATGAATAAAACCGCTGTTGCTGTTGTTGTATTTAATCTATAGAAATATTGTAAGATAATAGATGCTGTTTTCTAATTGCTTTAATCTACAATCTAAATCAGTTATTTGGATACTTAAAATATATATATCTGTTAATTAACAAATGTATCCAATGTCCTTTTACCCAAGATTTCTTTTAGATATAATCAGCCTTTTTTTTATGTGTTCCAGGTTCCCTTTAGGAAACTTATCTAATATCAACATTGATCTAAAAACACTCGAGTTCCAAGTTCACAGAAACCAAGTAAGTACTTCATGACAATTTTCTAACAATTCAGTGGGACTTCAATGTCACTTACTCTAATTTCATTCAACACACAGTCCCTTTGTTATTATTGCTGAGAGTCCAACATGTGATATGTGTTTGCTGTTAACCGTCACAGTCTTTTTTTGTTCCTCAGACCTCAGTAGTGAAGGGCAGCTCCGGCTTTGTAGAGGGATCAACTAAACCCTTCGTGTTCAACCTGCTCCTGCTGCCTGGAGAAATCAAATCATTCAATGTCCGGTTCACTCCCATCAGTAACCACAGTGTCTCCTCTCTCCTCATTGTCAGGTATAAAGTGTGTTTTTATTGCTCTGCTACAACCACTAAAAATATGTTACTGGAATAGACAACAATGTATCCACAGGACCCAACGCCGCAGCCTCTACCAGGATGTCGCTCCTTTTTCATTAGTTTACTTACTTAATCAGTTACTAATTACCCTTAGTCTGCTCTCTATTAAACAGAATTAAAAGTGAAAGTTTTTGAATTTAGTCACTTTCTAATATGAGATCAAGTAATCAAACGATATTAACGTTATGTTGAAAAAAGCTGTCCTGAAATCACAAATCACAGGAAAGTTTGAGCTTGGCAGATGTTTGTTATATTAGGGACCACTGGATTGTCATGTTAAGGGCCTCTTGGTAGAGCCTACAAAGTAAGTTCCTTTGGATAGAGGTCTGCAGATAGATTCCTCTGAGAATTGGCAATTATAAAATGGACCTGTACCCCTAAGCATCTCTTAAATTGCAGTTATGTCTTGTCCTCTGTATTCTAGTGTTGGATCCACCTTCGACAAACACAAACTTCTCCACTCTAAATATGACTTTGTGTTTTCAGGAATAACTTGACAGTGATCGACACCATTGTGCTCCATGGACACGGTACCACAGAAAGTCTGAAGGTAGCAGGAAAGGCACCAGGACAGGGCAGTTTTCTGAGGTTTAAAATGACAGAAGGGCTGCTCAGAGACTGCACAGACAGTGAGTATTTGCCGACTAGAACTTTTAATGACCCTGTTTTTTATTCTACTCTTTGAATTACCCATTTCTTTAGCCCTGTTTAAAAATTAATTTTTTAAGTTTGTATGTCAGAGGTACCAGAAATTGAAAAACATGTGGTTAATGCAACGACTACGACATTGTTTTGAAAATAATATATATACAAAATAAAAAGGCATATGTCAAAACTTGATACATTATGCTTTATTTTTTCTTCTCCAGAAACAAAAGTGAGGGAGCCCAACTTCACTCTGAAGCGGACATTCCGAGTGGAGAACACTGGCCTGCTCCCGATCACCCTGCGGCCCGCCCAGATTAACGGTCAGATCTGTGAAGGCTATGGCTTCAAGGTCCTCAACTGTCAGGAGTTCACCCTCAAACCAAACACCTCTAAGGACCTCACCATTCTGTAAGAGCATGAGCTGTTCTGTCAACTTTTACATTTAGTCAAAAGAAGATGTACCTATTTAACCCATCAAAGATCAATAGAACACTTGTATTTGCTTTTATTTGTCTGAAGCTGACGCCAACGCAGAGGCGACAATGCAGTGCACCAAACGTGCCCATAGAAATGTGTTTTTACCATCTATAAACAACTCATCACATGAACATTTTCTGGCTATATTTACAAGAGCTTTCCTTACTCTGACCAAGTTTCACTTCGAGGGCCTACTTAAGGTCACTTTTTGCAAGTTATGTTGTGTAAGGGAAGCTTATATTTCTGTGTGTAGAACTGTCTCCTCTTCACCTACAAAAGCTGGTTCGAGCTATTCATAAGTGAAGTTTTTGTCTTAACTCCTAAATTGCAAAAACTAAAAATGATCTGTGTTGCTGTGGTATTAAGTAACATTCTGTCTAGAAAAATCACACCACAAAGTATCTTTAAGTTCCTCTTTTTAACACCAGTGTAACTGATCTGACTTCAGGCAAAAATAGATTATTTGCAGTTCAAAGTTTCAAGTATATTAACTGAATATATTGTCTTAAGCAGTGTTAAATGTACTGTATAGATCTGATCCTTTACAAAACTCAAAATCTGGATTATTTATTTTTATAGTAATATGGAACATGCCCTGGATGACTCAGGGAATTGTACATTTAGTTGTACCATGTATTATACTTACTACTTAATGTAATTTTCTATGTATTCTACTTAGCGCTTAATACTAAATGCTTCTTCCAACCCCTATGTTGTGGTCGCATTTGTATCTTTTGAGCATTTGAAACTAACGGACTTCCTCCTTTGTTGTGCAGCTTTACGCCTGACTTCACATCCTCTCGAGTGATCCGGGAGCTGAAGCTGGTCACGTTGGGAGGCTCAGAGTTTGTGTTTGTGTTGAATGCATCGTTGCCGTACCACATGTTGGCCACGTGTGCTGAGACACTGCCCCGGCCCAGCTGGGAACTGGAGCTCTACATCATTGTGTCTCTGATCATGAGGTGAGGACACTAAACAGACTGCAACAGAAATGAGTTACTTTCAGTTATTACACTTTAAAAATATTTTAATACAATATTTTTATATTATATTTTCATATTTTTCAAATGCATCTTATTGACTCCACTGGCACATATGTTTACTTGTAGAAAATGTCTTGATCTTAGTCACTTTAAGTCAATTGGAAGTAATGTCACTGTAGATCTATAAATGACTGATGACTGCCAGACTGTGAATGTTCCCTTTGCACATGCGCAGGAGGGATCAAATGGAACTAAGCCTGAAAAATAAAGTGTTAAAATGTATTAAATTGAAAAAGAAAATTGTCATACCATTCTGTGCTGCTGAATGCTTTTGTCTTCTGATGTTGTGTTACTGTTGAATTTAAATGGTGTTTTTCAACCCTCATCTCAAAAATGAGTCATTCGCACTTGTACTAGTGTGACCAATGTCACACTAGTACAAGATTCAAAAACTAAAATTGCCTGAACGAATGTAAAAAATGTGCTTTGTTTTCAGCTCCATGTTCCTTCTGGTGATTGCTACAGCCTGGATTGAAGCTAAAAGCATCTGGGAGCCTTTCAAAAGACGTGTTTCAGTGGAGTCCAATAATCTGGAGACTGGGAAACCGTTTAATCTCAGGGAAATAGTGCATGACCACAGTAACTCACAGTAAGTCAGTTACCATGTTTTCACTTATGATAGTGCCGTTTTACATAAATTGTGTTAATTCAACACAGCTTATGTAAAATACCAAATAACTGATTCAGGAATACTGGCTCCTCTTCCCCTGTCCCTGATTATATCAGTATAGTAGTGGAATATAACTAATATATAACTATAGTCAGTGTAGTTAAATCAACGTTGAAATACATTCAATGCATTTAGGTTAAGAATTTATCGAGGGCATAAAACCCTTAGCCAGTCTGTTTACAAAGAAAGTCAGAGCAACACATGATTTTCTTTCTCTGTGAGGTGATGAAAGGATGTGTTCAGTTTGTTCTGTTTACAAATGTTTAAAATCTTGCATCATTTGCCTTGAGGGATTAACCTTAAATGTGTAGAATGCTTGTGATGTTTGACAGTTGTTTATATAGCCATGTTCCTATAGATTTAAAGTCTCTGTTTGTATAATAGTAAAGAAATTGAGATGTTTGTTCCAGTTAAAATTCTTTATTGTTTAGTCGTGTTCACCAGTAGTGACAAGGCTTTGTGTGTACTTTTCGTTATAGTTTTGGAATAATGCTTCTGTATAGATGCCATTGTTCCCAGCTGGCCTGGTTTGATTCTATTACTTTTGATCTATTACATATGAGCCTAATCTCTTATTGGGCTGTAAAGTGTCTTAAGTCTACTTCTGTGTCCTTTTATTGTGGGCTAATTGTAACCCAGGGCTTTGTACAGTACTGTTTTATAAATCAAAGGTTGATTACAGTAGTTTACATGTCTCATTTAAAGACATTTTTTTGAATGTCTACTGTTTTTACAGTGACCTGCCCCAGAACACCAGAGGATACTATGCCAATGGTTCTGCTCGGCTTGGCGGGCGACAGAACAGTGACCAGAGACACAGAACGGGCCTAACCCGCTCCTCTATGCCTAATGCCTCCACTCAGAGTGCCAAAGGGAGCGTTCCGGACAGTCAGCTCATCAACCGCAAAACCCGCTCCAACAAGCAGACAGAGGGCCAGAGAGGACTCTGTCCTGATGAGGACTATGCCAGTCTGATCGGAGCGATGGACAATGACCTGGACCGGCCTGATGCGGTCAGCTCAGAGGTGCTACAGGAGACAAACACTCAGCTACAACACAAAGGTGAGGGATAAAACTGAAGGACCTTGACATGAAACACAACAGTTTATAAGTAGAAGTCTATTGGCAAAATCAGTTTTTGCATATTGAAATGATCATAAATTTGTGTATATATGTATTTTTTCAGCTTTGGAATCCAAAGGGAAAGTAAGAAAAACAAAGTCTCAAAAGAAGAAAGAAGAGAAAGAGAAAAAAGTGACTTTAAAAACTCAGGGAGATGAGCTCAAAGATAATCTGGCCGATAATGATGACAGCTCCTCCACAACGACAGAAACCTCCAACCCAGATGTGGAGACCAGCATCAAAGAGGTGCTGTTTACACACAGGACACATGGACCCATGCATTCCATCCAAGATGTGTAAGTGAATGTATGTCTGTCTTCCAGGAACCAATAAAAAAGAAAGGACGATCAGTACCTACCACCAACGAAAAAGATGAATCTTCAAATTTTATACTTAAACCCAAACCCAAAAAACAAGGAACCACAAAAAAAGAGAACCAGCCTGAGAAATCTAGGTGAGATTTACAAATCCGGACTATACGTTTTAAACTCTACTATATTTTGTGATATTAATTGTATTGTCTTCAGTTCTCTGGAGTTGCCATACACCATTCCTCAAGAAAAACGCAAGAACTTTCAATCTAAAGGTCTGCACCCTCTGTCCAACCTCCCCAAGCCCCGCCCCCTCCAGAAAAACAGACGTGAGTTACTTCTTTTACAAACTATACTGCTGAATACAAAAAAATATATATAATAAGGGACAGTGATTATTATAGAATGAATCCATGTTTTACCATTGATAATACTGTATATATAAAACAACTTATTTGCCTAACCCTTCTGTGCCTGACTGTCTTCTGTGTTTTTTGCAGAAGATGGTAAATCGGAGGAAGGGCGCCCCTCTCTTTTAGCCAAAATGTTGTCCAGCAGCTCAGTGCCAGAGCTGGGCCACAGCAGTAGCTCAGAGGGGGAGAAAGAGTTTGCCTCTCCAGAGTGGGACATCCCAGACAATAATATCCGTAAGAGCTCATCACAATCACAGTCACAGAAGTTCACGTTATACTATCTCAGCCTATTCATTTTATTTGTTGTGTATTTGTAGAAGCTGGTAGTCTTCATCAGATCTCGCTCCAGACAATCCACGCAGACCCATTTCTCAAAAGAGCCAACTGCTCCCCTCCCCCCACCTCGCCCAGTCTAAATTCCCGGGGCACCTACAGCAGCGTCCTCAACAGGTCAGCCCAGAAAGCACTGTGCCAAACGAAAACAGATAACTCTGCTTTTTCTTTAAACACAAAGCCTTCATAGACAGCAGCTGAAACTATTTGTTCTTGTGAGGGAAGCTTGGATCTTTGCTGGGCACTGTGCCAGCCTCTGTTTTGAAATTCCCAGCAGTTTGTTATATGTCTCTTCCCACCCTTCACCCCTGTTTTATACTATTTGCTAGCTTGTGTAATATGTCTTTAATAATATGCGGGTAGGTCACATACTTAATCATATATTTAAAATTCCTTTGTAATTATTTTGTATCTAATATGTCATCAACATGACATTAGATGAGAATTGTACACCTTACTTAAAACGTACTTTCTTCAAATTAAATTTTGGATTTACAATTGAAAATATGAAATTATGAAAAACTTCAATATAATATACTTAAATATATTATAGTTTTCTGTACCAAAAGTCTATTTTCATTTGATGTTGTGTTTTCAGTGACACCAACCAAAAGAAGGCTCCAGGAAGTAAACTCCCCGCAGCCCCTCCTCTCCCAGGGAAAAATGGAAACCCCACCTTTGCTGCTGTTGCCGCTGCTGGTTACGACAAGAGCCCAGGTAAATGTCTACATGCTGATAATGAGTAGGGATGTTTAATGGAGATTGTTCTGCTTTATTTACATAACTTAAGGAAAAAGATCTTAATGCTGTGGTGTCTGATTTCTGTTTTGCTGTGTAAACAAATGAGTGATTGGAGGAAGAAGAAGAGGAAGGAAGAGGTGTTTCACAATGTACTTTCAGTCAACTGCAAACTCATCCAGGGACAGCCACATGTGAGGGTAGTGGCTATAAAGAGCAGAAGTGAAATATACTTTAATATTCTCATATACATTTGGTATTCAAAGTTATTGGGATTTATGCTCTCAGTGAAGTTGTTTTTGTAAATGTCCCTGTTCCCAACTCCCTTAAATGTACCTTGTTTGAAACCTGAAAACCTGAAACTAATGAGTCAAACTAATCCTGTCCTCTTTTGTGCCCATCAGGAGGCTCTGGTCCAGGAAAAGGTCTGAATCACATGACTTCAGTGGAGAGTGACAGCTCAGACAGGTAATTGCTTACATACCTTGTAATTGATATTACTTGTAGTTTACTTTAGTTTCACTGGCTTGTTGTTTACCTTGTGCTACAAGCCCAATTGTATTGAAATAGTGTAATCTTTCATGTGTCCAGGAGTGGTTCAGTGTAGAGAATGTTTCATTGGTGGTCATCTGGCCTCATTGATCAAGACATTTCTGCTCCCGTTCAATTTTTAAATTTTCAGTTTAAAAGAATAAGAACTTTGCACATCAATTTCCTAAAACAGGTCTGTTGGAGGAGACGGAGCAGCACAAAAACACGAACACATTCGGACGCGTGATTCTTCTCTGTTCAATTTACACTTTCAAATGGGTTCTGGATGGGAGTCATCAAGACCACAGATAAAACCTTTTCTAGATACAAGCTGGATTGTTCGAGTGTTTATACTCCCCATCTTGTATGGCTCATGTTGGTTCTTTCAAGTCTGCCCTCAGTGGTGTGGAGCAGAAAGGATCGAACTGGATTAGATTTGTGTCAGTAAAAGTAGCGGGCCAGATCAAAGTTCAACAGGGTCAGCTTCAGACTCCAGTTGAATAGGCCAGTCTTAAGGAATACAAATCACATTATATTCTCACCAAATTCTAAAAAATTGAACAGCAAAAAAAATGAAGCACTAATCATATTAATAAAATAAGAGTCTTTAGTCTAGTCCTTGGACAGTTTGTGAGATGTGGGTCTTGTCTTGTTTCCAGCTCCGGGTTGTGGAGTCCCATCGACACCGTGAGCAGTCCAGGCATCCACTCCAACTCGTTCTCTGCCTTTGGGCCTAACAACAACTTCAACCTGACAGGAGGTAGGTGCATGGGCCTGCGCCCGTAAACCAAGAATGCAGAGGGACTAGACCAGAATGCTCGTAGTTCTGTCCTTAAACTTGATGTCCATAAATTCTATTTTATATTTATGTTCATTTGTCCCACTCAAATAATTATTTTCATCAGTCATTATTATCATTAGTTTAACAGGTACATACAGACAATAATCCTTGTGTATCTCCCATCTGTGCCCTGAGTTACTGTTCAAATGAAATGTTGTTTCACTGATAAATAAATGACATTACCAGAACAAGGAAGAGTTGCATAATGCTCAAGAGCTCCACAATTTTAATAGGTAGATCCTGTAGCTTAAATTAAACAAATTAAAGTAACTTTTTTATTTTTTGTAATTATTACTTGATTTGGTGGGATAGTACCTGTAGAAATATTTAGTTTTACATCAGTCATGTGTCAATTAGAAAAAAGTTCCAAGAAGTAGTGGTGAGTTTTAAAACAAAACCTCTACTTGTGTCATCAACGCAAAAAATTCTATTTAAAATTCAAGAGCAATTTACATGTAAAGAAAACATTCATTTATCGGAGTAAAGGTGTTGTCATTTATTTGTGTTAATTTAATCATAACTATTGTGCAATTTAGACAAATGTTGGCCCTTGTTTACAGTATGGTTGCTAGGTAACAGTTCTGGAAGATTTTAGTCACATCTTAAATGTTATGACGTTATGACGTTATGTTTAAATAATAGTCTATGTTAACATATGCACTTTAACTGTGATTAAAGTCTGAGCAATTATCTGTAAGATGTTCTTTTGAAGTTATGGTCCTTCTGCTGTTGCTGAAAGTTGTTCTTATGTTGTAGTTTTCAGTGGGATGAACCTGTCAAAGAGCTCGGAGCCGCAGCAGCAGACCTGGCCTGACTTCACCCCTGTGTCCTCCTCCATCTGGGACGTCCCGAGCAGCGACCCCCTGCACTCCTGGCCTAGCAGCTCCGGCTCGCCCACCGCCCCCACCGCAGTAAGACACATATACACACTCTTTGGGACTTCATCACACACTAAGGCACTGTGGCCTTTTGACTTATGATTACCGTATTTTCCGGGCTATTAGGCGCTCTGGATTATAAGACACATTGTCATTAAATGTTCTATTTTCAAACTTTTTTCACAAATAAACTGCACCAGACTTTAAAAGAAACACAACAGTTGGATGGCTCAGTCGGACTTTGTTTGGCGCGTTCACGGTGACTCTGGGCTTTGTTCAGTTGTGGCGCGTAGGGAGGGTGCTGTCTGGGACCGCTGGATTGTTGGCGTGTTCGCAGTGACTCAGTTGTTCAGTTGTGTCTAGAAGTGGCACATTGCACTCACTTTTTCGGTTTGTTCCTCTGTTCTGTTCCTCGTCCACATGGAGTGATGAGTGTGGCTGTGGGTGTGTTTCGCTGCACCGTCGCTTTCTGCTCCGTGCATGTTTGCGTGTGGAGCGGCTTTGTAAGTTAACTGAAGTTCTGCTGGGACACCAGAGTGGATTCATGTATAGGGCGCTCTGGATTGCGGGGCACGCAATCGTTTTTTGATACGGTTGGAAGCTTAAGAGTGCGTCTAATAGCCCGGAAAATAAGGTAATTGGGTCAAAGTATTTTTGCCATCACTGCTTTACGACATGTTGTGGCATCATCTGAAACTCTGTAACACTAAATAATTTCTTCATCCTTATTCTCCACTCTCTCCAGTCACTCCTCAGCAGCGTCCGTAACCCCTGGTTCGGCAGCTCCATCTGGTCGACCAGCGCTGACTCCACCCTGAACCCATTTCCCTCAGCGACCTCCAGCGGCTCACCTCTGACGCCTGACCTGGTCTCTAGCCCGTCCCCCTCAAGCCCCGCCTCCCCAAACGAGCTGAGCCGCACTTACAACCCCTGGAGTATCTGGAGACCGACTCTGAGCCGCCGCAGCTCCGAGCCCTGGCCTACTTCCAACAACACGGAAAACAACTGAAGACGACAAAATGATCAAGCTGATTAATTTAATTTAGGGCTGAACATTATGAGGCAAATGTGGTATTGACACCCAAAGTGCAAGGTGTACCATGGCATAATATTGGCCAGTAATTGAAAACATTTGGCCAATTTCAATATACTGACCTTAATATAGTCCAATATTGCAGAAAATGATAAATAAATATAATACTTATTTTAATATAATCTTAGTCTAAATTTTTTTTTTCTTCCAAAGCTTTCCATATATTACAGATAGAAGAAATCTACAAATTGGGTGCAATACTTTTATTTACATTTTTAGTTTTAAACTTCTCAAATTCTTAATAAGCTAATTGAACAGAACCAAGTTTATATTAATAACTCTAGAATAATAATTTTGCCTTATAGTGTGCAGCCCTGATTTAAACCTTTCAAAGCGTCTAGAATCCCCATCCCACAGCAGCGTTACCTCAAGTGTAACTTATTGGAAGCCACCACTGCAGGCGACCTTTGTTTGTTTATTTAGTTTCCATGGCTTTTTATTTATGAGGGCGATATATGCTGGCTTTTATTTTTATTTGTTTTAACTGTTCGCCCCCTCCATTACAAATTTTATCGGCAATACAGAACGCTCCCAGTATCGTTTCAGTACATGGCCAGAAGGATGCAGTCTTAGCCGTGTCTTTTTTTTTTCATCTGGGGTTTTATTGGTTTGTGATTTCAAAATACAAAAAAGGATTATTTAAAGATTTTAATTGGGTTGATCAAATAAGGATTCAATAGCCCAAAGCATTATGTCTATTTAAAAGCAGTCTCTAAGTTCAATATGGCCTCTACATTTGGGGTTTGTATTGTACGTTACAAATATTTGTCAACAAATTTAAATAAAAGATTTCAGCAAGCAGCAACTGTCTTAGTGTTTTATTAAATTTCCTTTTTATTACAAAACGTGCAAATTAAATTACTACCTTGCAGATCTGACTTCTTTATTAAGCCCATTTTTAAAAGTGCAAATGGTGGGACACTGTACAGTACGCAAGACCAGATCTACAGACCTCGGCCAAGATTTTTTACCTGACGATGCCATCCTAATACACAAGGAACTGGACGGATAGCACTGTCAGGCAACAAGATCTTGGCCAGGGGTCCTAAATGGGAAAATTAAGCGTTTTTGGAAACCAGAAAGTACACAGAAGGACCCAACAAGGCTCTCTATGGTTTGACAATTGAACCAGGACCTTCTAAACATTGTGACTAAATAAATGTACCATTACTAGTCTGTATATTCAATCCGAGTCCTGCTGATTTAATTCAGTACTGTACGAACTATAGAGGTGGGTAAGGTTACAAGTTAGGTTACAGAAAATGTCCATAAACACAGTATGGAAAGGTATTAAATTCTTTTTCCCCAATAATGATGAGCTTCAAGAAAATAATTCTTATGAAATGAGTAAAGACCAAAGGCAAATGCTATAAATACAATCTAGTTTGACCTCTTGTGGCAGAATTGGGTATTGCAACTCAATATTAGATTGCGTTGTGGATAAACACATTCACAGTTTCTTTTATAATTTACTGTACTTTTTTTTTCTTTTGGATTGATGTGGTCATGTGGCAATGTGTCCAAAACTTTTTTCATCAAGGGCCACATATCTTAACACAGATGAAGCAGAGGGCCGATCGCGGGCTATAGACTGGTGCTCATTACAGTGAATAATTGATATATATGCATGTTTAACACATTAGAATGAGCCGTCAGTCCTTTATTCATGCTAAAATTCTCAAAACCACACACTAAATATTACATATTGGCTTTTTCAAGGTAGATTTTCAAAAAACTTGCAAAAGCTGATTTTTCATTAATGCAAGGTAATTTGGGTCAATTCTCCTGGAAGCCTGAGGGCCAAGAAAAATTTGTCTGAGGACCACATTTGGTCCTTGGGCCATAGTTTGGACATGCCTGCTCTAAAGTATGTGGATAAATTGCATTCATTAATATTAATCCTAAATAAAATCTCAATAACTTCATGTCAATTTTAAGATCTACATAAAATACGTTAGTTTCTTATTTAATTTCACATTATAAATGAAATGAATTAAATTTAAAAGAAAAAAAAAAGAAAAAAAGAAATTAATCACACAAACCACGTCAGCATTTCCAGCTGCCGATCTGTTGTGTATGTACGTTATGGCTGCCTGAGGGACATCATCAGTAACTGTCCAAACTTTTCCACATCACATTTATCAAATACAAAAACCTTATGTATCTTTTTTAGTTGATTTGCCTGATCTAGTGCCATCATCCCTCGTCCTATCGACCCCTGCAGTTCAACGCGAACGGGACAGTGAATGCTTTCTGTCACCACACTGCTGTCTATGCACGCTGCCATAGCATAAGCATCGTACGACACAAAACCAGGTCCGAAATACACATCGCGCTTGTTCTTCATGGTCTCTTTGGAGTAGGCCCAGCACTGAGAGGTGATGGTCTTCATGAAACGAGCCGCAGGGGCGTCCTGGTCTATCAGAGCTTCGAAGAACTCCTGTCAAAGAGATAGGTGAATTAAAATGGTTGTTTTTATTTTTCTTTCAGTTTAGGACTAATTATAGGCTACTCGTTACACTTTTTCATTTGATACCAAGTTCAGAAACTCCTGAACAGTATTAAGTTATAGAAATATACATACAGAAACCTGCACTTCTACTTCTGTAGTCTATTGTACAGCCCAATCATTTTTAAGCTTGTTTAAATGTTCTCTGATCTTCAGCCCATCAGACTAGTTTGTTACAGAGTATTTTTTGCATGACTGAATATTTACAGAACAGTACAGCTTACAAAGTAAAACAAATAATGAAACGACTGTTTCCTGTTTATGTGACTTCCGTGACTGCGATGCTGGACTTTTACACTGCATACGGACTGAACCAGGACTGATCAGGTCAAGTCCGAGACCAGACCGGAACCAGAGCGGGACTGAGACCCGGCCTGAGACCGGGACCAGACCGGGACTGAGACTGAGACCAGACCAGGACCAGACCGGGACCAGAGCAGGACCGAGACCGAGACCAGCGGTCCGAACGGTTCCGTGTCATCGTTTGCTCGCTGCTTCCGTGCAGGGAAAGCAAGAATGCGCTGAGAACTACAGGTTCGGACGGGCTGCTCCGGTTCTCCATGCTCAAGAACCGCAGCTGGTTCTGGGGTGGTGCAAAGCATCTGGACAGAAGCATGAGTCCTGTTTGGCTGGTTATATTGTTTTGACCATTCGTCCTCCGCGCATTTGGTTCTTACCCGGGTAAAGCACTTCTCAGGCCAAGGTTCCTGACACCACTCCCCGCTGCTGCTCTAACTGAGCCTGGCCTGAACCGGAGCTGCTCCCACTGGTTGGAATAGTTCGTTTGGACCTGTTGTCTCTGGTTTGAACCCAAGTTCGTGTTCACATCAGAGGAACCGCACCAAAATTTGGTATTTGGTGCAGATTCAAGTGAATCAAGACCATCTCTTTCTTGATGTGACCCGCTTGATTTGGTGTGGGTCCGAGTCCGATTGAAGCTTTCAGACCAACGCAAATGAAACGAACTAAGAGCTTCTGGTTCGATTGGACCGTTTGGTGCGCACCAAATACTGTCTGTGTACGAGACTGGGACCAGACCGGAGGCTTAGAGCCCACGACAGGGCCGGAACACGAAGCTGGGGCTCGGACCCTGCGGAGGCTCGGAGTCAAAGCTTGGAGTCTGGTCTGGTCCCACTCTGGTCCCGGTCTCAGTGCCGCTCTGGTCCCGGTCTGGTCCCGGTGTGGTCTCGGACCTGGATCAGTCCTGGTTCAGTCTGTATGCTTTGCAAAAGTCTGACACTCACAGTCACGGAAGTCACATAAACGGGAAACGGTCGTTATCCATTCTTTCCATTTTTCATTTAAACACAAAATCAAAAACTGAAAAAACAAATCGTTATCTCTTTTTCCATTTTGGTTTTGGAGACAAATAATGAAGAAAACTGTTGTTGTTTTTTCGTTTTCTTATTTTTGGTTTTATATTGAAAAATGAATGAACAAATGATACACGGATTAAAAATAAATGTCTTACCCAGGTGAGCTTGTTCCTGCAGGCGTATTCCCAGGTGGCGATGTATGTGGTGCAGAGGAACTCCTCCAGAACCACATGGGCAGACTCAGGGTCCATCCTGAAGTTAAACTCTGCACACAGCGTCACGTTTCCTTTTCCTGAAAGAGGAGTCTGGGTCAAACAAATTCAGAGGGGGACATTGCATCTACTGTTCTGTCCAAAAATAATAAACTTTGACATTTGCTCCCAAAGAAATGCTCACCCTCCTTGTTGCCTCCCATGATGTATAAATCCTTCAGTTTCTTTGGAAAGTCAGGATCTAGTCGTACGGCCATGGCTAAATTAGTGAGTGGACCAAGAGCCACTAACGACACCTGTATAATGAAAAAAACAAAACAAAAAAAACCCATAAAATTTTGAATGTTTTTGAACATAGATAGAGATGCCACATAATGATTATGTGTGTAAAGCATTATTTATAATAGTTTATTTTATTGCAATATTGGGATAGCAATGACTCAAGAAACCGACAGGTTGGTGGTTTGATCCTAGATCTAACCAATGCATACTGTTGTTGAGTCCGTTGGCTAGACACTTCACGCAACCCCTGCCTATGTTTAAACTAGTGTGTGAGTGATTGGTGGGGTCGGAGAAGCCTTAGGCACAGAATATCAGGAGTGTGTGCCAAAGTTACATTTGTATATAGCAGGACTCCTAAATGTATAAATAATGTAGTCCTACCTGGTTTGGGTGTTCTGTCACCAGTCTGATCATTGCATTGACTGCGTGCTCTGTCTGGATCTTATGCTCCCACTGTGGGTCCTTGTCTTTGAACACATCTCCTAAACCATCTGTCCCAAAGTGATCACTGAACGGTTTATCAGCTCCAACCAGAGGCCCACCACAGCCACGAAACACTGGGATCTGTAGAGGAGAGACAACCTCTGTTTAGGACTTGACACATAACACTTGTTGACACCTCCTCAGATCCTATTTATTAATTTATCAAGTACTACAATCTAAAATAATAAAAATACATGTACATCTAAATAAATAAATAGAACTATGCAAGCAGTGGCACAGCATGTTAGACATTTACCTACCAACCTAATGATTAGGGGTTAAAACTTCAGCAGTGCGTACTGTTGTGTCCCTGAGCAACACACGAAGAAAGTTAAATTATGTTTGACCTGGTTTGCTATTATCCTAGTTTAAACTTAATCTGGATCTGGGTTTAGTGCGGTTTAGTTCTCAGTCTTTCTGTGAGGTCCTATGAGAGCCAAAAATGAAGAAGTTTACACACTCACTTCCTCTCTGCCGCAGACTGACAGCACCCTGAGAATGTTCTGACACACATTGTTGACATCTGTGTTTCCAAAGACACAAGTGAAGCCGAGCACCTGGAGCTGAGGAGCGGCCAGCGCCATCAGAATCGCCTGAGCATCGTCTATGCCACAGTCTGTGTCAACAATCACCAGCTTCTTAGACATGGCTCTGTAACGAGAAGACTTCTGAACACTACTAGGGACTGTAAAGATGGACTGGAACTTAGTTTTAGTTTGTGGAAAATGGTAAATTATTATCTTATATGAACAAAAATTAGTAATTTTAAATACTAAGCACAATCATTCATTCTACATACTACGTTCATAAGCTTTTATCTGAGACTTCTGAAACCTGGCATTGTTTTATGTAATGAGAGTAAAGAGCCTAATTGAGAGGAATCTTTTTTTGGGTTTCCTTGACAATGGGATTGTGCGATTAATTGCAAATTGATCCATTGCAGTTTGTCTAAAACTCAAGAAAATGTATGTAGGAGAAAATGCGATTTAACGTGTTGTAAGATGTGCGTGTTTGAGCATGTGGTTTAGCTTTTGACGAATTATTGAAATTATACATTTGCGGGGCACCAGATTCTGACCGAATCAAACTTAACCATATGCGACAACAACAACTTATCAATTAAATCAATCTGAAGGGAACGTACCCGAAAAAGTGACCTGATGATAACTTTAAGAAAAATCACTGAAACCAGCAAATTCCTTTGTGTGGTTTATTAACAAACAATAACTAGACACCAGCTTCCAAGTTCTGGTTACGTAACATTAAAGCACCGATTTTAACAACCTGAGGTAGTTATAAAACGGGGTTCAGTCGCTACTGCGCTTGCCTTGGGAATAATTGGACGCAATCGTAAGAGGGATGCCAACCCTTATTCATTCACTGTCTGAACCAGCCTTACTTGGCGATGTTGTTCTCGGTCCGTGTGGAATGCGGCGATGGCGGGGTTCGGCGGTGGTCGTGCGCACGGGCAGCCAGCGGCGTGATGATGGTGCTCGGGCAGGGCGGTCCACGCCTCCTTCACCGGCTCTGGTCCTCAGCTCTCGGCAGGTGCGACTCCAGGTCTGTTACAGCTCCCCCTGGGTCTCTCCGACCGGCCGTCTTCCCTGGTCCTCTTCGGCAGGTCCTCGCTGCGGCGAGGCAAGGCGAAGAGCGAAGAAAGGCGAAGCGAAGCGAAAGTCCGATGCGAAACGAAGCGAAAAGCGGAGTTTTCGCGCGTGAGGCTTCGTTTTGGTCAGTGCGCTTGGTGGGCGTTGTTATATGCAAATTTAAGGCACGCCCGCGTCTGAGCTGAACTGGTCCCCGTACAAATATCATTTGCAAATATTAAATTGATAACTTCCCACATTCAGGTACTAACTGTTTATGATAACATTAGCCAACGATTCATAGAAAGAAATCAAAGGTATATCTGTCTGAAAACACGCCGTGAAGTTACCGTAAATACTTCCGTGGGAACATGACATGAAATACACACAAGAGACTATGAACACATGAATTAAGCAATGTGGCATATTTGTCTTGTATCAACATGAGCCTTATATAGAACACAGTTAAAAACATTTTTAACTAGTTATTGAGATGCGTTTAATCCAGTCCTTCTCTAGTGTCCAAAAGTGGCAACCACAGTCCATCGCGGTTTTAACCGGTCCAAGCATTGGCGCCTGATGGTCTGGTATGTAGATGATGTGGGTCTGTTTCTTCAAGCACAATGAAGAAAGTCATTATTTAACAGTCCTTATCACTTTAGCAGAGCCATGTCAATTCCCCATTCTGATTCATGTCCCATTTGGCGTGGGGGAAGGGAGGTGTGAAAACACCGAAGGTCGGTTCTCTTGGGGTTGTAAATACCAAGAGGCAGTCAGGCAGAACCGACTTCTCTAGGTTCCTGGTTTGTGGATTCTATCAGAATGGAGGGAAGCAGGCCCTGAACAGGCATCTTTCCCTACATGTATGTAAACTACACATTTTCAGAAGCATGTGATCAATATGAGCATTCATGGTCCTGTTTAAGAGTTAGATTTTCAGCAAAAATAATGAGTCAGAGTAAATAGAAGAAAAAAAAAAGATAGCTTGTGACTGTAATTTGGTTTGTGTGAGTTTGTGAGTTTGTTTGTGTTTTAGGTCCAGGTCAGTTCTTTATGGTCAAACAATATGCAAGTGTGGTTTGAAAGAAATTTTAATCTACTTTTAGCATACAAATAGTTAAATGCAATCAAAAGCCACTTTCTAATCCTAGGGCAAACCACCACATATATAACATCTGATCTGCAACATCATGGACACAGCGAGATTTTCTCCGAAGGTTCAAAGTTGATCTCACATTCATTACACGTTTATTACTAAAACGATCAAGTAATATATATATATATATATATATATATATATATATATATATATATATATATATATATATATATATATATATATATGTATATTTTTTTTATTTCGTCTTGGGACAGGGAGACGTTTAATTAGCACGACAGCAATTCATTTTGAGTAATTGACTTTTTAAATATTTTCATAAAAATAAGAGGATTTTCAGAACTTACCTCAAAACCTGAGACAGTGGAGTTGTGCGAAGCGCGTTTGTGATTGGTCAAATTTATTTTACACTTCCTGGTTTGACCAATTGAAGGCTGGATGGGGTTGTTATTTTATTTTTAATTTTTTATTCAGAATTTAAATCACAATTCAACCCATAAACACTATACAATAAAAGATTAGATTTTATTTTGTAAAAGCATTGCGTTAGAAGTCGTCAGATTGCGTTTTTACATTTATTTTAATTAGATTTTTCTTCGTGGTTTCCCCCGTTTTCACACATAATGGTACGCGCCGGTTAGCTGCACGGGTCAACGGAGCGACTCAGTTGCTGTGAACGCGGTGTATTTTTAACATATTATCAGTGTAATGGCTTACTAAGTTCACTGTTATGTGGCTAGTTTGTCTTTGTGCCGCTTGGTCCGAAGAGACTACATCAGGTTTGTGAAATATGGCCATTTGTAAAGGCGTTTTCCAGTGGGTGTGTAGAGAGCATCTCCGTGTCGCTGTGGGCTCAGCTGTCAGAGCACACACAGTTTAATACTGCAGGTGTAATAGGTGATATGTAAACATTATTCCGTCTAATGTACAATAAAGAGGGTAGTTAGGCTTGGAAAACAAAAATCTAGTGTGCATGCGATGTGAATTTAAAGGGAAAGACTGCAAACCTCTCTGAGATCTCTGTTTTTGACCTGTTCACGTGTTCAAGATTGATTTGCAACCGTTACTGCATTATTTATTATTATTTAAGTTTATTATTTAACCTGGAACGTTTCAGTCCTGGAAAACATGATGAGTGTTGAGATCCGATTTTGAACCCGTATTTATTTCAGAGAATAACAATGCCTAATCAAGCTCATGCAGCAAATACTTTCTGTAAGTTCATATTTTTATTATAAACCGTATGAGATCCTGACATTGATCAAGTTACTTAAATAAAATATACCAATATCCTAATATTCTAATTCTCTTGAACCATATCATAGAGCATGATTTTAATTAATAATCTATGTATTATTTGTTAAATTTATTTTCCATTATATGCACAGATTGTTTATGCATTTTTTCCTTTGGTGATTTGTAAGAAAAACAAAAACAAACTTGTATTTTACTGATTATTGTGTAAAATACTCTGTTTATTTTCCAGTTCATAGTCTCATCCCAGTATCCCACACCAGTCTATTCACTGCATCTTGAACTGTGAGTACCTCCAATGCCGAACACGCCTGAACCTCCTGCTCCATCCCCGCCTGGGCCTGTAGTGCAGACCTCCCTTCAGAGGACAGCTAATGTGGGACAGGACCCTCTGCTCAGCCCTTTGTCCCGGGACGCCTACAGAGCGAGAAGGGCCTCAAGTGCGGAGCTGCACCTGCCATGGACCTGCCCTGTCACGCACTCCAGGGAGAAGTTTTACACAGTTTGCTCAGATTACGCCTTTCTTAATCAGGCGGCCTCTGTGTACCCCAGTATCAGCAGCAGGACTGGGGGGTCGCTCAAAACGGAGGATGAGCCCCTCCTTATTAAGGCCAAACCCTCACAGGTACAACAGGGATGCATCAAGAATGAATACTGTCGTTCAGCTACTTAAATCTTTATGCTGCTAATGGAGACCAAATATGGCTTTTCCCACCCTGTACACAAAATATTAAGCACAAAATTAATGTTGGGTTTTCTTGGTTTTTATTATGTTACTATTATTCCCAGGGGTTCAGTCAGAGCAGAGCAGTGGAGTCAGATGAGGACTGTGACATGGAGGTGTCCGCCAACACTAAACCCATTTTAGCCTGGGAGATAGACACATCTGACTTCAGAGCTGTGCCCACCAGAAAACTCAGAACGAGTAAGAATTTTTTGTTTCTTTATTACAATGTAAGGGAAAGATAAAAGTTTTATCTGTGAACATTTGTGCAATTGAAGAAATTTGCTATTTTAATCATTTGATTGCAGGTTTGTATTTCTTACAGTTTGTTTTGATGATGAAGAGCTCCCTGTGTTTCAGGTAATGTGAAAAAGTCCAGCACAAAAAAGATGAAGTCGTCAGTTCGACCAGTCAGAAACCTGCAGGACATCCCTCCTCACACTTCACTGGATGACATCAAACAGAGGAAAGTGCTTGACCTGAGGAGATGGTACTGCTTTGTTAAATCCATGTGTTTGAGAGTTTTAAAAGACTAAATTATAGCAACATAGGAATACACTTTGGCATTTTGATTTTTTTTTTCAGGTATTGCATCAGTCGGCCGCAGTACAAAACCTCCTGTGGGATCTCCTCTCTGGTCTCCTGCTGGAACTTCCTCTTCAGTACTTTGGGAGCAGGCAGGTCAGGATGTGTCAAATTTCAGTACAGTGGAGACTGAATGCTTCAATATAAAATACAATTGCATAAAATAGCTTTATCCATTTTTCTCACTGGTTTCATAGTCTACCACCAATTTCTCAAGAAGAGGCACTGCACATTTTGGGTTTTCAGCCTCCATTCGAAGAAATCAAGTTTGGTCCTTTTACAGGGAATGCTACTTTAATGCGGTTTGTCAGCTTGTACCTATAAAATAAATAAACTGAAATCTTTTTCTACATCTTGTCATAACAGAAAATGTTTCTTTATTCTGCAGCTGGTTCAGACAAATCAATGACAACTTCAGAGTCAGAGGCTGCTCCTACATTTTGTACAAACCTCATGGGAAACACAAGACAGCAGGGGAAACTGGTAAGTCATTTAACAATTATTTTCCAAACCTGTTGAAACTAGTAAAAACTATTTATGGGTTTCAGCAAGATATTTTTGTTGTTCAAATTGTTAAATTCAATTTTTTTTTAATCACTTTGGAACACTTGAATACAGGTTGAGAATTGAACAAATGTAAATGTAAGGCTCCAAGCTTCTCTTTTGTGTTTTATTGTGAATAATGTGCATGCAATCAAATGTATTACAGTACATAGCAAAATGGGTATTTTTCACTAAAACTAAATAATATAGAAACATTTACAAAAACACCAGCATATCATGTGAACATATTGTAGCCGAAGGGGCGCTGATGAAGCTGACCCAGGGGCTGAAGGATGAGTCCATGGCCTACATCTATCACTGCCAGAACCACTACTTCTGCCCTGTGGGGTTTGAGGCCACACCTCTGAAGGCTGCCAAGGCCTACAGGTCACTCAAACTACTCTCTAAATGTAAGATTATTTTAGGCTTAAGTTTTTTAATGTTATGATGTTTTTTAAAAGGGGCCCATTACCAGTAACTGAGATGGAGCACTGGATATTGATCGGTGAGCCAAGTAGAAAACACCCAGCAATTCACTGTAAAAGGTGACGCTTATTTTGCAATCTCATCGTATATTATGCTAAATTGTGCATACCCCATATGTCAATGAATCATCCTTGTGTATAGGTGGGTGGACATTGTCACTGACCTGAACACACAAAACCCTGAGTTCCTGGATATCCGTCACTTAGAGAGAGGGATCCAGAGACGCAAAACTAAAAAGGTTTGGACATTATACAAATACACCATTTGTACATTTTTTTGGTATCCAACCGATACATCCATAAGTTTGGACCCATCTTTCTACTACACTTGCATCCAAAGCCCAGCTAAATGTTTACAAATGTAATGTAATGTATGCTGATATGATTGTTTTCATGTTATATATTATGCTGCCCACCTGTGGTGCAACAAATATTCATAACACAAATATTACAAATATTTCTAATTAATTTCATTTTTGATCATATTTGCATTTTTATTCTTAATCACTCCATGTGCCTCAGGTGGGGGGCAACCTTCACTGCATTATTGCCTTCCAGAAGGTGAACTGGCAGAAGATTGGCCCCTGGGCTTTGAATCTGGAAACCCTACGGCACGACTTCCATGCCCAGAACACAGAGGGGGTCCCTGGCAGCGAGGAGGATGACAACCGGTCCAACAAGCGCCTGTCTCATCTGGGACGCTCCCACAGCACAGGCTGCCACAAGGAGCAGAGCTGGAGACGGCCACAGCACTCTGAGTTCAGACAGCGCTCCCCTGACAGTGAGCTGGAGGAGGACATGGTGGACTGACGCACAAACCACACTCAACATTCTGAGTCTGGAAACAAAAGCTGAGAGGCTGAATACACGCTGCTGACTACTGCAGGTTTATGTATAGCTCTTTCATTGAGTGGTACGGGTCAGGTCTATGTGGCACAGTTAATCAAAATTTTAATTCAAGCAACTCCAGCAAAGCTTGGATTTTTATTGTACTGTGTCCGAGAGATTTTGTGTGCTAGATTTTTGCGGTTCAGCGTCTTTTGCAATTTGCCACATTTTTACATTTTGTAAATATAGTGTTTTAGTTGACTAATTCAAAGATAACCATGCTTTTTTATTATGTAGAAATACAAAACATAAAGAAAAGAATGGAAGAATATTACAAATACAAAACTCAGCTCTTCTGACCCTATCTGTACCACTGCAATGAAAATAAGGTTTTATTATTGCTGGCCAGATAATGTTTGTGTCTCTGTTTGTTTGAGTCCAGTTTTGACTCTGTTTTATGTCAAATATTGAAATTGATTTGTCTGTAGTGATTTATTTGTGAAGCATTTGTTTTAGTTTAGTTTCTCATTAGTTTGGCAGCTTAATACCAGCACATTTCAAGGCACATTTTGTATCTTTTCCTGACTTCAGTGCCATCCTAGTCTGCCAGTTATACAATAATAATAATAATAATTTTTATAATGCACTATACATTTCAAGGACATCTCAAAGTGCTACAACAAGTAGATATGTCAGAGTTTAAAAAACAATAACAAGTATTATAGCAGTATCATCATAACAAAATACCCAAAACATCAAAATGGTATTAAAAGAACGTACCTGTAGTCGAAGTAAAGAGCTGAACTGGTCTGTTTATGAAACAAAAAACTTGTAAGGTAAAGGTTCACAACATGATAGTTTGGGTTAGTGCATTTATATAAACTGTATGCACGTAAGGAGGTAGTTATGTTAATCTGTAAAATGTGTGTATATTATCTCGAGTTATGCAAGAGATATTCATTTTCTACATAATGCAGGCCTTACGTTGGTACATTGCAAAATGTAATTGTATTTAGGAGTAAACAAAGCCGTAAATAAGAAGGTTTCAAACACATAGCCTACTTTTGCTTTGAAAAAGAACATTTTCTGCCTATCCAGTGCTGCTCAGAGAGGACAAACAGAGACATTTTATATTCTGTTTCAGTACATAGTTTGCATATCATAATCTTTAGCATTTATAAACTTCTTTGAATCGTAATGTGGGGGTTGTTTCATGCATTTTACCTGAAAAGCAACTGGAGAACTTTTTACTTCATTTATTTGTGTTAGGAGACAACAGTTCCTGCTAGGCTACCATAGTTCCTCAAACAGAGGGTTGATATGATATATATATAGTAACTAAATTTGAATCATCACAACTAAATAATATTGTATACCCAATTTTAACATGGGAGTAGTTTTCCCAACATTCAGAAGTGAAACTAAATTATCACTGGGTTAAAAAGTAACTGCTAACGTGGTGTGACTTCAAAAGGAGGAAGTCAAGTTCCACTCTTTAGTACAAAGCAAAGAGTGTACACTGTAACCAGACTGTTGTTTAAAACATAATTTAAATATATATATTTTTTTTTGTGTTTGAAAATCTACTTTTCCTTATTACAGAACCTCCCCGGTTTCCACCAGCATTGCATGTTTCATGTCATCTGTATGACTCAGAATGTAATGATCAAGTATTGACATTTTCAGGAAATATTCGCAATGGGCTAAAGATAGATTTTGTTTAGTCTCCTGATATCTTGTGTTGAGACAGTCCTGTGCAATATCAACCTCATCTAGAAAAGGTTGCTAAAGCAACATAAGAAAGATATCTGGGTTTAGTGGCATGTTGGATACAGCATCCCCTTTATGACATTATCCGTCCCTGGTCAGATGTTGTAGGAATAACATGGCATTTGTTGCTTTAGTGACATGTGTAATGGGCTTTTCCAGTCAGTGATGCTGTGAACTGTGTTGTGAAAGATGTTTTGACCTTTTCCTTGTGTTTTCTGTAAATCTACTACAGCTAAAATGTTTAATTTAAAAAGTCAGAGAGAAATGATTCCAAAACATGAAATTGTAAACTGCAGGTTAAAACTGCATGTGTTGTTAATATTTATTAACCTTTGTCCACATCTGTATTGCATTTGTTTATTATTTTTCAATAAAGTAAGATTTTCATAATTGAATACCAAACAGGCTTTCTATAAATTGCTTTTGATCACTGTGTGGGTCCTTTTAATACATTGCGCAACTCTGTAATTTGAATGGGACCAATACGGCAGCAGCCCCCTAGAAGATAAATACATTTTAAAAAATGAATACAAATTTAACAAAACATGAATTTGTGAGTATGTAGTTTTGTTACCTATGAAGGCTGCTCCTTGTCTCATCCAGCTTTCACAGAATTGAGAAAGAGATCCTGCTTTTTTTACTTGAGCCAGCCACCTTAAAAAAAATAATTTTTTTTTACTTATTTACAGAATTATTTACCTCATCTTAAGCTGTTGTATGTTTGATGAGGGAAATGGAATAGTATAACAAGTTATGCTTACAACTAAGTGTGAAATGAATTAATAATGCCAGACATTGTGAGAAATGTAATATAAGACTATTTATCTGCAATATGGATATTTATATTGTACATGAACAAAAAATTGTAGTTTAGTACCCCTTCTGTGAGTCCCACTCCTCGCCAGTGTTGGGATAGACCACCCAGCTCAGGTCTGGGGTCAGCAGGGTTTTGGCGGAGTCCAGGACTGGCTCCACCAGATCTGGAGAACAACAGTTAACTCCAATGGCCACAAGCTGAGGGCATTTAAGAGCCACCTGCACTGCATCAGAAAACAGGCTGCCGTCTGATATACATTTCTCATCCTACCAGAAGTAAAGCACAGACAGGAAATGGGAGTTGCAATGTACAGGGTTTTGGTAGAAACAAGACAACAAAATAGTAGTCCAGGTGTGTAGTACCACCAAGATTAAGGGTTTTCAAAAATATTATTTTGGCCGTGAATATAAAGTTGTAGATTTGTGAATTTGATTAGTTGTAGTAGAAGTAGTGACTGGTGGTGCAATGGAATAGTTGACTAGTGGCCAGCCCATTGTGGATGAAATACCTTTATGATATTTACCTTACAGGAGAAAGAGAGCCATGCTTTAGAGTTGGGGAACTCTCTGAGCAGCTGAACCAGAGCCTCTGCTTCTTTAATGCTGGGGATCGTCTCAAATGCAATAATGTCTGCCCCTGCTGCAGTTAAACACTCCACCTGTGGACGGTGCCATGACTTCAGATCCTGAAAAAGAAGAAAACAATATATAGCCGCAAGCGACAATCAGCCCTCATATGTGCCAATGCAAAACGCGCCCTGCAAACGCTGCGCCCCGAAACACAGCGTCCGGCAAACACAAATTTTCACTGAAATCAAAGTTTGTATGTGCAAATAGAATCCATTTCTATAGATGCAAAAGGCCATACATTTTGTGAAATTTTTGAGGCTTTGCTGCGAAGACTTGCGTCAAAAATTTTGATAACTTTTGATGTCCCACTCTTTGAGATAATGTGTACCAAATTTGAGGCCGTTCAGGTAAATACCCAAGGAGGAATTCGCGAAAGTACAATGTTAACCGAAAATGCTTTGCAAAGTTTAATACAATGTTGCTGACCCCTAATGGAGCAGATGGTGTTGACGTAATTATATTTTTACTCATCTTGTCATGATCCAGTTCTTTGTCAAATTGCATGATTCTACGTGCATTAAAAAAAAAAATCGTTCCTATACCCCAAGGGCCTGGCCACACTGCACGCCCTACGCGAGCATAAAAACTGCATCTTTAGGACGTGTATGTTTTTCGAATGCATTGAAACTGAATACGGACGGCCACACTGCCAGCCCTTGGTGCGCATATGGAGCAGCACGTCCTGCGTGAGGAAATTTCAGATTTCTCTGGCCTAATAATCTCAATTACAGAATGTTTTATAATGAAACCTGATTGATAGAAATATTATGCGAAACATTGTATTAATTTACTAATGAACACTCTTTATCCATCTACACAACTTGCCTGGCCTCCATTCTAATCTCCTTGTTAGTGGGAGCTGCTGGCCAGGTTACCTAATAACCTGATCTTTTATTTATTTCATTAATTCTTAATTAACTAAGTCCCACTGAGATTTGGAATTTCATTTTGCCCAGAGGTGGTCTTATTGTACATGTTTTAGTCATAGGACCGTCCAGACCCTATGCAGGCACAGGCAGAACATGCAAACACCTGGGAGTTGAACCCTGGACCTTCTTGTTATTAGCACAAATCTGGAACCAAATAAAGTCCATTTGTTATGGTATTCTTAGATTAGATTGCTAAATGAGAAATGTGTAAACAATGCAGTTCTAAATGAGAGTGTGTGGAGCTCGTCTCACCTCAACACTCATTTCTTTAGCATAGTTCCCTGTGTACTCAGAGCCATCATGAAGAAATGCTCCAAAAGGTCCAGTTGAGCCAGCCACTAATCCATGTATTCGACCTTCAAAATATATCAATACATATACTACATACTTTCATACAGTATCTTTTGTGGATATTTACCAGTTTTATTTTCAGATATAAATTTCTGCAATGTGTGTTTGGCCACATGGACTCCAGACATCAGCAGCTCTCTGGCACGGTCACATGTCACTCCTAAATGTTGGACAAATCCTTCAACACTGGCCTGGTAAGTAGCTGTGGTAATGACATCGCTGCCACTGATAAGATATCTAGAAAATAAATAATTGTGGTTATGTGTAACTTACAAATCTTTATGTTATATGGTAAATCAACCTGTAATGGACATCTTGTATGGCTTCCGGGTTTGTGTGCAAAAGTCTGGCACTCCACAATGGGTCCCCCTACGGCAGAAATAATCTTAGAATGACAGTTATTAAACCATAATTAAGTCGTCTATTTAACACACATATAACTTTTTTTTTTTTTATTACAGGTAAATAACGAGTTGAGAGATTGACGCTGACACTGTGTTTTGGTCACACTTCTCTTAATGTTAATTTACCCCAAGATCAAATCCTTGTGCCTCTAGCTGAGTTGCAAGACCACCATCTAAAATTAAAGGTTTATTATCGTTAATAAAATCCCTCAAACTAACAGATGAACACATTGATGAATCAAATCTTAAGATATATTCTGAAGAATTTCAGGTCCCACAGCATCTGCAATTATATTACAGTGGTTTTCAGATGTGTTTCATGCTCATGCGAGGCGACCCAGCCAAGACTGTTGTTTTTGTTCCGGGTTCAGAACAAGCGGTGCGTTTGTGACAACTCGGTATTTATCATGTGATATATTAAAACACCAGTAGATGGCGTAAGATATAAACAAATTGTCAGCGCACAGCTCGGTAATGTTTGAGATGTTTGCGTGCTGTCTGATGCCCACATGGGGCTGCACAGCTCACGGCTCCACAGTTTTTTTTAATGAGTAACCCATTTTATACAGCAACATCTAAATAATAAAAGCTCTTTTTTTCTTCTCAAAGGCAAAGATGTAAAATCCATGTATGTATAAATATCGCAAAAATATGATGATGCAAGACTTATGCATGATTTACGAATCTGACGTTGTTCCCTGAACGCACCTCAGCTTGTCAGCCCAGTTACCATAGAAACCATAAAATGAAGCGCGGAGTTAGCAGCTAGCAGCTTTCATTTATTACACTTTACTACAACATCAAAGGTGTTATACATTCTCAAAAATGGTGAGTGCACCATTAGCTCTACAGCAGTTATGATACGTGAATATCGTTCAATAAGTTTCTTCGATACGCTGCATTTGGAGGGACATGTGCGTTTGTTTGCTAACTTAGCTTAGCATAGCGTCCGTGGTGTTAACCATAAGTACAGTAACTTTACAGCAGCTGAATATGATTTAGTACTTTATTTTAATCCTTAACATAGAGAATAACTGGAACGAGCTATTTTGGTACAAAGTACACTGCACATTCCGCTGTAAAGTAAAAAAGTGAGACAATATATTTAACGCTAGCTAGCAGTTATCGCAACTGGTTTTATTAATCTGTGATAAACACATTTGTTTAATATAGTACTGATATATTGTTTGAAAATCTGAGAATAGACGCGAGTATATACTTAACACATTCTAATAATGGCACTAATATAGATAGAACTACAATAGTTAATTTTACAAATAAAGAGGCTGAAAGGTTAGACAGTCTTCCGTACATTATTAAAGCCAGATTGTCCACATCCTCCCTATTAGTCCTAATTAGTCCCTATTACTCCCTCTAGAGCTGTGCAAGCTCTAAGCCCTCTGGTTACCTTGCCTACTATATGTAAACATTACTATCAGTGAATGTGTGTCCATATTAGTGCATTTAGTGTCACTGAGAAAACAAGGACAATCTAGCTCAATTAGTTACATAGATTGCTCTTTTACACAGTGGCTTATTCAGGTGGGCAATAACAGGCGATAAGCATGAAATATGCCAGTGAACCAGTCTATTATGATTACTATCTCAAATGTTTTCTGCACGTTTTCCTCACAAGACTGTTGTACACTGGAAAAACAAATACACTTGTTAAGATCAGGTTACTGATTAAAATACCAGTGGGCAGACTCATCCATTGCCAGCAGTTTAGTCATGACACAGGCTCATGATACAGGCATGCATAGAGAGGAAGCTGTTCTATCATTGTTTTCACCAGACAGAATAATTGGAATCTGTCACTCAGTTGGACAGATTCCCAGTGGTTATCTGTCACTCAACCTGTCTGGGCTTACATCAATTTGGCCAGATTAAATGAATTGTGATTTTCACTGTATTGGTCTTCATAAAACGCTCCGCTTTTTTTAAAGGTTGTTAATCTTTCATTATACAGTAATTATTTCTAAAATAAATGTTCATAATCTTTTTTTCTCTCTTCTTTTCACTGTGTGTGTGTTTCAGGAGGACAGGTTTGCATTTTTGGCTGAGTGGTATGACCCAACGGCTGGTCTCCTGCGAAAGTACCAACTGTTCTTCTACCCCAGAGACAACTCAGTGGAAATGGTGAACTGACTTGCCATAATCATTTCTCTGACAGAGGAGTCTGTAACTCTATTATTATTATTATAATTTTAATTTTCCATCAAAAATGTTCTTCTCATACATTTTAATTTAACATATTAACAAATTAACTATTCTGTTGTAAGTAATTACCACTGCTGTTACATATATATATATATATATATATATATATATATATATATATATATATATATATATATATATATATATATATATATTAATTTAATTGAACTATATTGTGTTCTGTCCACAGTATGATGTGAAGAACCAAAGAGTGTTTTTAAGAAGGACTAAATATGAGGACTTGCACATGGAGGACCTTTTTGTGGGAAATAAAGTCAACGTCTTTTCACGGCAGCTTAATCTGATTGACTACGGAGATCAGTTCACAGCAAACAAACTCGGCAGCAAAAAAGAAAGGTGCAGTAGTAGCATCATTGTTTCTTCTGCTATTACCTATTTGCATACCTTATTCATATAACCCATTTAAGCTCGCCATCTGTAAACATGTTTAAAGGCCTATATTTTTCTTACCAGGCCAATACTGTATGTCAATATGTCATCAAAAAACTTCCAAATATTATTTTTTGCCAATCGTTCAGTTTGCATTTCATACAGCATTACACACAGATCTTGTTTTGTTGTGACAGACAGTGGCTCAGGTGGTAGAACAGTTGTATAATTGGAAGATTAATGGTTGAATCCCAGCTTCACCCATTTTATCCTGTTGCTATGTCCTTGAGCAAAGGTCAAGACATTTCAAAAAAGTAAATCCAGCCACTCTAGAAAAGTAAAAGTCACATGAGGAAAAGTATAGTTTAAAAGGCCCTTATTTAAATGTCCAAAGCCAATATGTTTTGGCCATACACTGTCTTCAGGGCTTAACCAGAACCTCACTCCTCTTGCCTATGTATGAATGCACTATGACTCAGTAAGTCACTTCAGAATTGGGCATATGATTTATCATTTATTCCTCAGTTTAATTCTCTAATTGCCTATTTTGTATTCTGTATACACACAACCAAATTAAAGCTCCAGGACTGCTCATTTTTTTAAAAACATATAAACTGCTTTTCCTACCGAACACTTTTTAAATTTGTGTGTCAGTCTGTTTTTAATATATTTTTTGATGTCCAAAACAGTTACAGACTGATATATAAATGGTCAGTTCAAGCCATGGCCACATCTAAATGCATCCCCAGATTTGATCTATCACAATGTACCAAGGAGGATGCTCTCAGGGCTAAATTAGATCAAATTCACGTGCATTAGAGTCAGCCACATGAGATTCAATCACTTTGTCCATATCCAATTGCAAGGTCAGAGAATGGCCTTTGAATACATCTCCATATATGGATCTTGTACATGTCTCCAATGTTTTGCTGTGATTTATTATTACAGTAATACATATTATACATGATTATATCGTCTGTAAACCAAATTATCTATGTGTTTGATGTGCAATGTTTTATTGCTAAGCTGTTTATCTGCTCTTCCTCCAGAACACTTGCTCTGATAAAACCAGACTCTGTGACTAGAATTGGAGATGTCCTTGAAACCATCTACAGCTCCAATTTGATTGTGACCAAAGCCAAAATGGTGAAGCTAACATGGTGAGTTCCTGTAGGCCACACAAACACAATATAAGATAAGCATAATGATTAAAGTAAATAACTATGTCAAATACTGGTGGGTTATTTTATAATATTTTGACATACCTGAAACATTGCCATTAAAACACGTGCTTGAAATATTAACATTTGCTTTGTCAAAAATTTGTACTAAGTGTAGTTAGGAGAAGTACTGTAAATTATGTATTTATCAATATTCAGTCATATAAAGTGAATGTGTCTCAAACCCAAAATATATCAAACATGAAAGTTAAATTATGCCAAAAAGCAAATACTGACTTTGCATTTCTCATTTTATCACAACACATTTTTTGGATGGATTTATTAATCACCTATTAAACCTATTAAACACATATTTTATAGATTTCGTCTACAACAGACAAAGAAGATCAAATAGCTTCACAAAAATAAATAATTTTAAGTAAAAAATACATAAAACCACAGTATCTCATGAAATCAACAATAGCATTCACAACTGAACTAGACTATGAGATGGCCATTGCACCACAATGCCAGCTCTCCCCTACTTCTAGAATTGGTTTCTGGGGCATTTATTTACATGGACAAAGACAGGAGCTGCCCATTCCCTGCCAAACAGATGGAGGATTTGCTGCGCCACATTCCCAACATATGGTCTGCCCAGGGCCACATCACCGGCGTTCACTTAACCAGACGCCTCATCGGGTGCTCAGTCATGGAGCAATTGTCTTATCTAAACCTCTCAGAAACACAGGTGTGCAGAAACAGGCTAATACTTTTCCATTATAAGAACTGTCACTTTAAACTCTTGTTGCCATGACAAGCTAAATGCATTTTACCTGCTAAGTAATTGAATATCATTTCACATAAGATTAGAATATTAGAGCATTGTTGTAGCACTATCGAATCAGAGTTATTTTTGTGAGTCATGTGCGTTTGATATATCACATTTTCCTTATGTTCAGTGGTGACATATTTAGTAAATGCATACAACAAAATTTTCAAACTCAATTTCCATACTAAGGAAAAGGACTTGCTTCTCCGATTCAGATACCACAATGATAAAAAACACTCTTTATTTAGACAATAGAGTGTCATTACCCGAGGTGGGACCAAGTCTTTGTTTTGCAAGTCTCAAATAAGTCTCAAGTCTTTGACCTCAAGTCCAAGTCAAGTCCCAAGTCAAATACAGGCAAGCCCAATTCGAGTCTCGAGTCACTAGCCCATAAGTCCAAGTCAAGTCCAAGTCACGTCTTGCAAGTCCCCACCCCTGGTCATTACCATGTAGCCTTATACTGTATGTGTGATCCCTTGTCCAAGTAGGTCCCATAGTGGTCTACACATACTAGTCTGTGCAGTCTTACACTTTTTTGTGTGAGTTGACTTGCTAGAGAGTGTGGCATAGAAAGTGTGATGTACAGTATGTAGACAACACACTAAGTACCTCTGTCTGAACTGAACATGTGTAATCGGTAATCCTGTTTTAAGTGATGCAAGCCCACTGTTAAATATAATGCTTAGTTATGCAATCTGCTGTTAGTGCATGTTGGAGATAAATATGTAATAATTTAATTTTACATTTGGTCAAGATGCTGTATTCAAACAATTTAGTCTAGTTTAAGCGTTAAAAAACGTCACAACAAACAA